ACCCCTGTGACCTTGAATATAATTGAAGGTCATTCATTTGAACAAACTTGGTAGCCCTTCACCCAAGCATGCTACTGGCCAAATATCATCTCCCTGGGCAGTTGTGTTATTGAGAAGAAGATGTTTAAAGTTTTTAACATATTTGACCCCTGTGACCTTGAAAATTAATGAAGGTCAATAATTTTAACAAACTTTGTAGCCCTTCATCCAAGTTTGCTTCTGGCCAAATATCGACACCCTAGGCCTTTCGGTTATTAAGAAGAAGTCGTTTAAAGTAAAATATTGACGCCAGACGCCGGCCGGCCGACGAACGCCGCGGCATAAGCTCACTTGGCACTTTGAGCTAGGTGAGCTAAAAATCCCACAAGACACATTGAGATAAAGAGCTAAAAAGGGAAATAAAGAGAAAAAATTAAACTTACATAGAACTACTGAAGTTTCACCAATGGTAGGTACCTAATTCCCTCTGGGATCTCTTGTTTTTAATCTTAAGGTTTTTCCATGAACAATTTTCAGATTTTCTGTTAATGATCTTGCTCAGGGCTTATACCTGAGGTTTACTTAAAAAGTAATTCCTGTTCAGAATCGTCCTAGTCTTATTCAAATTAAGTTTGCTTAACATCGGCGTGGTGGAAGTTAATAATGTTTAAAGTCCTAACTCTCTACTTCAAAAGAGAGCCACATTATTCATTTATAGCATTGTTTCCCCTTCATCTAGTGATCTGTGTCAAATTGTGTCTTTTAAACTTTTATTTTTCATTTGTTTACATTGCCCTTCATAGAAACTATCTCTGAGAAAACATTGCCTTGATTAGATATGATTTTATGTATAAATGCAAATTGTGTTTTGATTTTTTTTTAAATGTGTTAAATTACTAAATTGTTCATAAACCATATTTGTATATAATTTTAGTACATGTATCATAATTAGCTGTTCAATGAACACCAGACATCTGAAGCATGTTTTCAGTCAACTTTATATCTTATTTGAAATGTTTTTAGCTCACCTGCCCGAAGGGCAAGTGAGCTTATGTTATGGTGCAGCGTCCGTCGTCTGTCTGTCCAGCGTCAACATTTTGCTTTAAACAACTTCTTTTCGGTCACCAAAAGGCCTAGAAAGGTGATATTTGGCCAGTAGCATGCTGGGATCAAGGGCTACCAAGTTTGTTCAAATGAATCGCCTTGACCCACTTTCAAGGTCACAGTGGTCATATATGTTAAAATCTTCAAACAACTTCTTCTCAATAACCAAAAGGCCAAGGGTACTGATATTGGGCCTGTAGCAGGCTGGGATAAAGGGCCACTAAGTTTGTTCAAATGAATGACCTTGACCCACTTTCAAGGTCACTGGTGTCAGATGTCTTAAATCTTCAAACAACTTCTTCTCAATAATCAAAAGGCCAAGGGTACTGATATTGGGCCTGTAGCATGCTGGGATGAAGGGCTACCAAGTTTGTTCAAATGAATGACCTTGACCAACTTTCAAGGTCACATGGGTCAAATGTCGAAAAATCTTCGAGCAACTTCTTTTCAATGAGCAAAAGGGCCAGGGTACTGAAATTGGGCCTGTAGCATGCTGGGATGAAGGGCTACCAAGTTTGTTCAAATGAATGACCTTGACCAACTTTCAAGGTCACATGGGTCAAATGTCGAAAAATCTTCAAGCAACTTCTTTTCAATGAGCAAAAGGGCCAGGGTACTGAAATTGGGCCTGTAGTATGCTGGGATGAAGGACTACCATGTTAGTTCAAATGAATGACCTTGATCCACTTTCAACCTAATGTCCTTGTTCGACAATCAAGGTCAGAGGCGTCATGTTTAAATCTTTTAATAGGTTCTTATGAAATCTTAACATTACAAGTGTTAGATTAATAACAGGTGAGCGATGCAGGCCCATTGGGCCTCTTGTTTAGCTCACCTGGTCCGAAGGACTGAGGTGAGCTTATGCCCTACTGCGGCGGTGTCCATCGTCAATCCGTTGGTGTCTGTCAACTTTTCCTTTAAAACGCCACTAGACCTGAACAGCTCTAATGATTGGAGCATCCTTGGGCAAAGGGGACTCAATTTTGTATAAATGGAGGGTGTGGCCCCTCTGAGTGCTGAGGGGCAGGGCCCAATAGGGTAACTTGAGATTTAAACCTTTAAATTCTTTTTTCTTCTGTACCATTGGAGGGATTTTATCCAAATTTGGCCTGGAGCATCCTTGGGCAAAGATGACTCAAATTTGTATAAAAGGAGGATGTAGCCTGCCTTTGGGAAGGAGGACAGGGTCCATTAGGGGAACTTGTGTAAAATCTTCAAAAATATTTTTATAATGCAAGATTCAGTTTAATAACATTCTGAAGACAATTTTCTTTTAAATTCCAAAATTGAGCACCCTTTTTCTATGACAATATACATTGTATCAGGAAATTGGATCCAGGATACTTTTTATATATCGTGATACACTCCAGGCTTATTGTGACACCCTTAGTTATATTTATACCTGTTTTACCTCTAGAGAGTCTTTGATATGCATCAGGGACTTCAGTAGTTTAGAATTCTACAGTTATCATGGATTTGATATTTTTGCATTCTTCAGGGAGGCCCACCAGTTGATATCCCATGCTGCATCCAAAGGTGTTAAGGAGGCCCACCAAGTACTGCATGAAGTTTGCAGCCGCGGGGGCTGCCAGTAGTCAAACAGGATCTGTTCCCATGACAACAAGGTCATCACTGCAGTAACACATGCACTTGTCCAGTATTTAATAGATGAAGATTTTTTGATTAATCTTATATTTTTACATATCTGCTGAAATAATTTATGTAATATAAAAACCATTTATGCTGAAAAATTTATGTTAAAAACGAATTATGTTCAAAATTGAATTGAAGTACTATGTGAGCTGTTCATATTCGCCATAAAGAAATTTATTAGATTTTTTTTTCTCAAAAAAAGTATTGATGTTGAAAATTTCAAAAATTGTGCAGAAATGAAAATGGGAAAAAAGTGTGATTGTAACTTTTGGTTCTAACATTGCTACTTTTCGAAAATTTGTTCATTAGGATATGAGTGATTTATACAATTTTGTAAAGGAAAATTATCTTTTTCCTGATATAAGTATATTACCCTTTTTATAATGGCTCTAAGAATTATTTTAAAACTATGCATATTGCACCGACGAAGGATTATTTGATTATTCCTAAGCTGAATCCGTCCTCACCTACAGAATATTGAATGTTACGAGTAGCTGTAGATTATTTGTTGTTGAGGTATAAACATGTAATATAGAAATGACTAATTTTGATGTTCTTGATAATATTTATTTTCTTATGCTACCTATTCCATTTGGTTTTTTGCTAAGTTTTATGTTTTAATTAGATTTTTTGTTTTGTTTTGGAAATATTGGGATATTTGCCCTGTTAATATACTATATACAGAATATATTATACATTTCAATGCATTCCTTTCCACTGCACAGATGACAATGAATAAAATGTTAAATAACCACACTTCAGACATTTTATAATCCATAAAGTTTGAAGTACAAATGTCATTGTGTATTACAAACCAACTGCTCTAAATATTTAAAAGAAGTGGAGATCTTTTTGTTTAAAAACATTAGCACTTAAGATTAAGAAATATTTTTCTGGTATAATATCTAAAATCTCCAATTGAAGATCTTGCTAGTGTTCTTATTCCCTGTGCAAAAAAATAAGGTATGGTCAGGATGTTTCTGATGAATATTCATATGAATAGACCATGATATTATACATGTGACTTTGTTAGACACATAGTGTGGACGAGTCAAACAAAAAAGATCTTGTAAATCTTGAAACGATACTGTATTTCTGATATGCATCGGATTTCTATAGCTTTATTTTAATATGGTTCACTTATAACACTGTTTTCATGTTTCAGTTGTTAATTAAATATGATTAAACAAAAATGATGCATTCAGTTGTATTTTAAGATTAACATTCAAGTACTTATTGGATTTGTTGAAAGGAAGATGCCCTTTTTTTCACTTTCTAATAAAATTGTAACCTATTGTAAATTGTAACTTTTACCTATATGTTCCATTGTGTCCAACCTGCTATTCACTTCAATGATCAAGGGGAGATAATCTCAAATTCTGGATTCAAACAGCTGGATAATTTAACTTCAGTAAGAAAGAAATTTAAAATGCATCTGTAAACTTGTACATAGTTTGTTCAATGAATTGCACTTCACAGTAAAGAACAAATACCAATAATAAACTCTCTCAGTATAGTAATTTTGTTTATTTTTATGTTTGTTATTGAGTACAGTGAAAACAGAGGCAATGCTTAAAATATGTAAAAATCATGATGCTATTGTTTTAGGTACAAGTGAAATACCTAACAAAACAGATCAATAAATAATATATAATTTACAAGGTATGGAATATTTACCATTTGATCCAGCATTGACCGACACCAGAAATGGTTAAATGTTACTTGTAAGCTACATGGAGAACGTACAGAATAAGCACAATATAAAAGACAGATCACTACTATGAATAAGCAGATCTAAATCCATACATGTTTTGGCTACAACCAACCACTATGACGAAAAGCACTGTGGCTTGAATCAGATTCTGAAGTAAGAGAACTCTTCCATGGTGATACTTTTACAACAGGATATTGATATTACAACGGGATATTGATATTACAAAGCACAACTAGTTTTTATCAAGTTTAAGAATTCTTTTTCACAGAGAGTTGCTAATCAATTCAAGCTCCCGTGGATGTATAATACAAATATCAAAATTTAACTGTCTACTGTGTTCGTTGAAGGAATGTTTGAACATTTTAAAACATTATACAAATTTCAAACATACAAATGTAAGCTTCATATAACTGACATTTGTTGGCAATACTAGAAATGGCCTCTGAGGCCTTATACTATTATAAGTAGGCAGTCAACAGTCAACTTTTACTGGTCCTTTTATCCAAAACCATTTCAAAAACAGACTTATAACAAGTAATTGTTCAATTCAAATTCAAATAATTCCAAAATTGAAATTTTAATTGTTTATTTTTAGCTAAAAGCTATTAAAGTGTATCATAGTCCATGAAAATAATCTTTTAAGCTACATGAAAGTAACAAAAAATTTGTATTTACATCTTTGTCAAGAAATCCATTGAAAATATCAAATATTTAATTTCTGGATGGACTATGATTACACCCATTATGAAACAAAAAACCAATTACCGGTAGTGAAATATAATTATATGTATACAGTATGTATAATCTGAATGCCTTGGCGTGTCGTTTAAGCTGAAGTCCTATATTGTCCAATTCCTGTAAGGGTCCATGGGGGACTGAATATTCACGTCTCCTGAGGGTTCTGTATGGTTATTAATAGGAACTCTTTTTCTACAAGATAAAAGATTAGTCAAGTATAACATTATATTAGTAAAAATAATCAGAAATTATCCATAATCATAAATGTTAACTATCACCACCTTCAAATTTATTTAAGAAAAATATGATAGAATAGACTCATTATTTGTTTATGTACATTTTGAAACCTTAAAAAGTTCAAATGTTCATGCACCAAGGTATTATTTAGAGACAATTTCTGTTTCAATTTTCAGAAACCCTTTTTATGTCCTACTGAAAAGAAACCAAAGCATCTGAAGTCAAATGTATGTGTACTTAAAAGGTTTGGATAAATTGTTTTGACAAGCTTAGTTTATGAAATATGCTTTCTAATAGAGCATGCATAGCAGCATGGTACAAGGTGATCCAACTGATTTAAAAAAAACAAAAACTTTTATAAATGTGAATTATTCATTTAGATGTAAATACCAGGCATCTAACTTCAATACTTCACACACAATGTATTCAGATTTCATAGATTACGAAGTCAAAATATTTTTTACAGTACATTAGCATCAAGTATAGAGTTAACAACTTAATAAGAAATAAAAAGGCATGCACAACAGTTCTTTTAAACAACATCTTTTATTGTCAATTAAAATTATGTAAAACAAGCAACATATGGCTAAACAGCACATGTTGTCATACAGTCACAAGTTGTTATATATATCTCAGCTTTTCTGGCAATGACTCAACATAGTTTACACAAATACTTGAACTGCTCTGAGTAAAATAGGCAGCAAAATGACACAAAAAACTATTTAGAAAGATCTTCACAGCGAGTTTTTCCATTCATAATGGATTAGGGTTTAATGCCAGAACTTTGCTCCTGACTTGTTAATGGTGGTCTTGTGCCGTTTTCTGAGAAAGTCATCAGTATTCCTTTACAGTGTTATAGCTCCCTGCTCTCCCTGCACGACCACAAATAAGTAGTCTTTGTCTGTTGTAAAGATAAAACAAACGGTAAACATTCTATTACACTAAACAAATACTGAAATAGTATTAATGTTTTGGGATTACTAGAAACAAATTCACTTGAATTCAAATATGAACAACCTGGTCTATTGTTTGAGAGTTTTCAGTGCTGTACTCTACATGTGTCTGCATATATGTAAACACTTTAAATACTAAATCTGTACTTAATTTGGATTGTTTTCTTGGAGAAATATCAATTGTAAAGACAGTCAGATTTAAGCTAGAGTTCAATTTAAGATTTTTTAATGATAAAAAATAAAATAAAAAAATGTTTGATTAAATCTGCTAGTTAAGGAAAGAACTGACTGTAGTGTACATACAGTATTTCTATTATACTTTTATTTTTACACACAGTATAAGTTATGAAAATGTATACAACAAAACAAAACTTTATCACTTCAATGTTTACAGCTTTTTTCTGTCTATAAAGTTAAACATGTATATAAAAATGAAAATCTGAGATACATATTGTCAGTTTATATATATATAAAAAAATCAAAAATCAAAAAGTCATTATGTTAAAATTGCACTATTTTAAACAGGAGGCCCACTGAGCATATGTCACTAACATGTTTTTTTTGCTATTTGACCTAGACAAGAAGTTAAAACATCTCTGCTAGCTTGAAACCATGGTGGCCATTTCCGATTTTTTATTGACCCAAATAATTAAGACTTGATAAGGGCAATGAGCAGAACATTTGATTGACATTTGGTTAAAACTGATCTGGTAAAATTGGGACTTGTCAAAAGTGTCTTTTAAATCAAAGGACATGGTAGCCAATTTCAATTTTGAATTGACCTAAAAAATAAGAGCACTTGTCCAGGATATCTGAGCATAGTTGAGATAAAATTCAGTTACAATTTGTCTGTGGAACTTGAGATGATTTTGAATATGATTCAGCCAATCAAATCAAAATATAACCATCTTTGACTGTGAACTGGTATGAATAACATCACTTGGCAAGGCCATGGGAGGGAGGTTTATATAAAATTTTGTCAAAATAGGCCTGATGGAAATGGGGATAAGGTATAAATAAACTTTAATTCCCCTGACCCAGGGATACTCCATACCGAAATACATCAAATACATTCAACTGTGCTTAGGGAATAGTCTTATAAAATAGAACTCTTGTTTTCCTATATGGACCCAGACCCCATGTCCCTCACACCCTTTTTAAAAAAAATACAACATAGAATTCCCTTGACCCAGGAAAGTTTGATGTCAAATCTAGTCAATCTTTTGCTGTTCTGGAATATCAGTCTTTAAAAATGAAAAGTTGATGATGGATGCCTGACTAAGGTATGCATGCTCACTTGGGCCTTCAGGCCAGGTAAGCTGAAAACATGACACACAATCACAATCAGAAATTTAAAAGTGAAATGTTATTTTACTTCAATTTCATGATTTTTAAAATAAAAACAAAAAACGAGTACAAATAAAAAATAAGCACATATTATATTATAGGTTAAAAGTAAGTTTGAACACCGAGGCATTCCATTTACATGCCAAGAAAACAATAAAGTATGGTTATTTCACAGCAAAAAAAAAAATTAGACCAAAAAAGGATGAATTCTATGAAATGAATGAAAGTTAGATCATAAATGTGGTTGATAATAAAATGACCAAAAAGCTTATTGATAGTCTAATATGTAGGTGTTGGGATATTTTTTATTTCCATATCTACATACCAGGGTAATAACAGATTCTTTTTGCTATATATCTTAATCCTCTGAATATTGCAGTGTTGAAAAGGCAAAGGTACCTTTAAAAACAGGAAGGAAAATTTCACTGTAGATCACATCTTCTCCGCTGGAATCAATCTCTGGACTTCAGGAATTTCCATCTTAGCTTTTAAATCTTCCACGCTGAATCCTTGTTCTCTCAGAAATCAGTGTTGTAACCACTGTATTGCCACTTGACTTCACATGAAAATGTTTCCATATCTCACAACGACAAGTGCAGATCAACTGAATTCTCCAAGAGCAACAAAATACCGAAGCTTGACAGATTTATATTTGTTGAAAATATCAAATTCACAAAATTTTGTGTTTAAAGTTTGATGGAAATGAACACAATTTGTATATTACAAAGATTCATTCAACTTTTTAGTTTCAACAGTGGGAGATTTACAGTCTTCATTTCATCTCAAACCATTTGAAATTTCACACATATAGCAATTAAATGTAAGAGCTACTTTAGCCACTAGCCTTGGTATGCCAAGGCCAGTAATTCTACCTGTGGGCAAGTTCATTTTGTAAGAAACAAGCCCTTATAGATGGGCTAATAAACTTGCGCCTAACATGAATATCCGTATGACACAGTTAAATTGTTTCAAAAAGGAATAAAATATATGCTAATGTTTTTGAAAACATTTTGATAAGGGGCTGGTTGGTGTCAAATTCATGTGGTTCAGTGAGTCAATTTATCATCAAATATCTTAAAGTTGACACCTGTATTGTTGGCATCAACAATCAAATAAGACAATCAATGTGATAAAATTGAACCTGTAAAAGACTACAATCCTGTAGTGTAAGTGATGTATTTGTTACATAATTTGGTTATATGATCTTACAGAAATGGTCACAATGTAAGTGGATGGCAATGTCGCATTTAATTGCATGAATAGCATAGGAGTTTTCTTTGTTGTTTGATAATTATGACCAAACTTTCACTTGGTGTCTTTTTAGCAATGACTAGCAACACATGTGCCAAGGCATCAGTTATGGTAGGACTAGTTCCAAAGGTTTTATATTTAAGATTTGAAGTTAATTTCAAAGGTAAGGATATTATGAATTATCCACAATATTATTTCTCTACCAGGATAAAAGACAGCTTAATTTTGTTACAATCTAGCTATTCCATGTTTGAATATTAAGTTGAGTTAAACTAAAGTTGACTAACTACCCAATAAATGGAACTAATCTCATAGCAAGACACACACTGACTTCAATGAATTACAAAGTTAACTTTCTTCTGAGAATTTATTTTAGAAACACAGTGCATTATTTACCATGTAAACTTCGAAAGTATAATAAAGTATACATATTACCACATGTTACCTATTGCTATGAAATTTTACAATACATATATATGTATACATTAGCACAGTCATAATGACATGCAGCACCATGTGTTGCTGCAATATGGATTTATTGAATACACTAAGGCAGATATGAGTAATATACTTATATAAGTCAGTGTAAGCCTTTGGATAGTTACACAAATCAATCGTTATCGTGAACGTAATATAACATGTATATTTACCTGGTGCAACCATGATTTCATTCTTTTTTGACCGGACACGTAGAAATGTGAGGTCATTTTGGGGATCAATATCTCGCACTGCACCACGTGCCTTCTGCGTCAGTAGGGTCAGTGAGTTACAATATTGCACCGTTGTGGAATTATCAAGAGTTGTTCTTATTGGAATTCCTGGGGGGAAAACATTATATATGAATCTTTATGAAAATAATTCATGTAAACTGAATAACAAAATAAACCAGAAGACCTGTTTATTATTATCATGTAATCAATATGATAAGATTTTTTTCCGATTTAAATTTCGTGAAATGGCAGCAGATTGCCATAACCTGTCAAACATAACATGTGTATCAGTTGTAACCTTTTTTTTCTTAATTAAGCAGACAAGTCAATAAAATATATTTTCAAGCAACTTTGGCTTTGCTTTAAACTTTATACTTAAAAGTTTTATCATAATCTCATACAATACAAATATATAATTAACTGACTTCAACTTTAATAAGTGGTGTAGAATGTACAATAAGCCTGCAGCTGAACCTTTTCAGTTTTAAATACTACTCCATCTGTTTTTAAGCTACAGGTTTAGCTGTTCACAATCAAATTGACAAAGCCATTATCACTACTAATATCAATGCTCATCTAATCTGTCATTATTTTCAGGTAATATCAATGCTCATCTAATCTGTGGAGTGTCCTTACTTTCAGGTAATATCAATGTTCGTCTAATCTGTCCTTACTTTCAGGTAATATCAATGTTCGTCTAATCTGTCCTTACTTTCAGGTAAACTGTCACATTGTGGATCACCCAATGTAATGGCATTCAGAACACAAATTGTATTTATCACAAGACTGCATGAACTCATTTGTTTGCAGTACATGCTATACTTGTATGTACCTCTAACATGTGATATCAGTATCATCATACCACGTACCAGTTCGATTCTAACTTCAGTGTTTTCTTTAGGCAATATCTATATATTATATATACAAAAAACATCCCAAGTTCTCTTGTGATGTTAAGTTAAATACAAGAGAAATGACATAAAGAGTTTTTTATTAATTCCCTCATGAACCTCTAAAGAGGTGGAAGTATTGTGTACATGAAGTCATGGCATTCTGAATCATATAAAACTATTTGCATGAATCAAGATGATGACAAAGTAATGTGTTAAAAAAGATCTTTACCTAAAACATCATTACTTGTTTCCCAAAACTTAAATGAAATAGAAAGTTATTATAAAGTATTAAATAAAAAAATATATCCAAATCATCAATTGATCGTAACAGTTAAGTACTGTGCTATAGACTTCTTACCTTCAGAATTAACGACAATTGTGCCGATCACACCCTTGTGGGCCTGTATCCTTTTTAGGGTTTCTTCTACCGATGTCGCCTAGCAACAAAAAAAATTAGCTGAATTAATGCCACGTGAAAGAAGATGTACCAATTGTTATATTGATACTTAATTGTTTTGGTACAGTGTGTTCTTTTGACTACGGCTACATTGCTGGAAATGATGACTGTTGACACATTTGAAGATTAAAATTTATTAATAAAAAGCATTTTTGAGAAGAGTTGTTATAACTTATTCATTTTAGAAACTGTTAAATTTGGGTCCTGTCCTTATTGTTAAAATTGGGTAAAGCGCATTGGGTATTGGATCATATTTGTCTTTTTAGTGTACTAATTTTTAATATTGTAGCCAGATAATTTTTCTCATTCTTCACTTTTTCGGAGCTTTGGTTATGAATTATTCCGAATTATTCTGACGTTTAATCGACTTTTTTCATACCGGTCTGTCGTCGATTAACGTTAATCGACGACAGACCGGTATGAAAAAAGTCGATAAAACGTCAGAATAATTCGGACTAGTTATGAATAAGCATAGAGGAAGGATATATGTCCAGCTTTTCAGAGCAGATTAACTCATTGCCGGTCTACTATTAACTACAAATATGAATACACATATGAAAGAAAAAGATATGATAAGAAGGAAACTGTGTTATCATGACAGAATATCAATTGCTAACACAATAAACACAAAACATGCTTTACTCTAGATATGTTGACAACCATTCATGAGATGTCAACACGACAGGACATGAACGGAACTGTTCGTGAAATCTGCAAAATAGATAACGGGTACTGTATGCAGGTAAAGTCATTTCCATAAATTTTCGCAGTGAATCAACAGACGTATATGTAATCTTTGTGAATATTATAAAATCCATACTTTACCATTCTAAATATAACGCGTGTTGTCGACTGCTAAATTCCTCACGTCTGTTGCCAATGACAGTTCTCGAGTGGATTCCGCATGCGTGACACGAAATGTAATATCCGGTTTAAACTAAATTTGAAAACGGCAATCGGACCACGCTCGTCCATTTCCGTGAAATGACATCATTTGGTGGAAACAATCTAATTAGATCTACGAATCGCTTCCTGTTTATGCGATAGGAAGGTCCTCTTTTAATTAATTTGAGGAAGAGAAAACACATGAATATGTTGGTCGATATTTTGTTGAAGCTACTGAAATTTTCAAGATTTTTTCCGCGGCGGCATTTTCCTACTAACTTAGCCGTGGCCATAAGGCCTGTATGTTGTTCTGAATTAATCTATTGAAGCAAAATTTATACATGTTTCAGTGTCACTAAAATATTGAAAAAACACCCCATTGATTATGATAGTCGATCTGTACGTACCTTAGCTAGTTATACTATTCTGTGACCAGTGGCGGATTTTTAGCCTGAATCTGGGAAACCCCATCACTTTAATAGATTTAATGAATATGGCTATATTTACAGTATTATATTAACAATACCTAATATCTCAGCAGTTCAAAAATTCATATTCAATTGGTTTGATATCTATTCCGTGCATTATCGCTGCTAGAAATTATTTAATCGTTAATTAATATTGTTTCCTGTATTCATAAATGCCGTTTTGGGGAAATTTGGACTGTTTTCTGCCATAGCTCTTTAAGTATATATTTTAGCTTGTCTTGTATTTTGTAAAAAGTATAACGTAAATGTAATGTATACGTATTGATATATTTGACTGTAAACTCTTACTATTTAGTTATTGTTATAGTTTAGTTTAAACATATTTTATTGCCATGCAAATGGATTGGGCATAAGTTATTAAACTTATATTANTAAGAATATTTATTTGTTGGATATATATTTTTTAAGTTTTAATATTTTTTAGGGGTATGAAATTGATAAAACTAAATAATAAATACTTATTCCCTCAAAAGGGCTACTGCATATTGTTTATCATTTAAACAATAACTGGTTGTCTGGATGTAATTATTGTTGATATAATTACAAGTGGCCTCTGGCAAATCTACCATAAAACCGCTAGGTTTTATGGTAGATTTGCCAGAGGCCACTTGTAATTATATCAACAATAATTACATCCAGACAACCAGTTATTGTTTAAATGATAAACAATATGCAGTAGCCCTTTTGAGGGAATAAGTATTTATTATTTAGTTTTATCAATTTCATACCCCTAAAAAATATTAAAACTTAAAAAATATATATCCAACAAATAAATATTCTTAAGCTAACATATCACATGCACAGAAAAGCTCCAGGTCAGACACGTAACTTTAACACAGGTAAGTTACCTGTGGAGTAAGTATGAAACAGATTATAATTGGTTTGCCATTGTCTTCCTATATCAACACTTTTCTTTGTTCTATAAAAAGTGGGGGAACTGTGAAAAACCCTGGCAGTTGAGAGAGGACTATACCATCTGTTGGAATTAGGTATATTGTTATAGCTATAGGTAAAGTGTTATTTCAAAGGTAGAGTCAATTTCATGATAGATATACCTGTATTTTCACCTGTGGTTTCATGTACACATGATCACCAGGAGCGATTTATTAGACCAATTAAAAAATATAGATTTCAAAAATTTCAAAGACAATATAGCACCCTCCTTAGCATCACTTTATCAGGTGTATAATAACCAATGTTAGCAGAAAAGCCTTGCATGTTTAACCTTTTCATTAGGTGTGCCCGTGTACATAGGTATACGTACAAATTCACAATAAAAGACAAACAGTTAATTCCTATTTATGACAAAATAAATCAATATTTAATAGCCAAAATGCTCGCCTAAACTTCATGAACATGAAGGGCATGACACAAACGTCAACATTTTAACCAAAAACCTACATTTTTACCATTGTTTTTGAGAATTTGTTAACACTCGCCCCGCTCGGCCATCACAAAATATAAATACTCCATGTTATAAAATATAACCTGGAAAAATACCGCAAACTCAGAAAATTATTCTATGCATCACTCGACCTGTTTGACAATGAAAATAATGTCCGATACATTCTTGCTTCCTACGCTTGGCAGTGCTTGAAATAGTTTAATATTACATCTTCAGGAAAAATAATCGCCTCGCTCCGTTCGGCAGGGAAATAATACTTGTCACAATCTCAGATTTAATGATGTTCTTTATATCATTTTGGGCCCAGAAAGTAGTATACACGTACAACCGACATGACAATTCTGATTTATTAGTTTTAGATAAGTGCCAAAAATTGTCTTTTTCTGAATTTAAAATTTTTGGCAACACCCAAAATTAATTCCTGGCCCCCAACCCCCCTGGTGACGACTTCACGTATATTGTAAAATGGTGTAAGCATTGAAAGATATTTCTTTTAAGAATTCTTTCCCAAATCTCTCAAGAATCCAATCAATGTTGAGAAAGGGTGAAGGGGAGGGAGATGAAACTTCCTAACTCACACATGAATGTATATCCTCTCCTTTTGAGCTATGACCCCGGGACCCCATTCTCAGATTACCCTTGTCGAACGGCCGTTCAACTTTCATGTTGGCCAGATTTTATCACGGCACTAGGGCACACCTCTGTATGAAACAGGAGGTCATTATACAGTGTGACTTATATGACAGTATAATTTGTGAACATTTAACATTCGAGGGTTGTGATAATAAAATGATCACAGTACGATATGTATTCATATCCAGTATATCATAAACCAACAGGAACAAGCCTAATGAAGACCAACCCCTTACGCTACGAGACTGCCCTTTTACTGAAGCCGGGTGGGTACACACTTCTTGAGCATGAAATTTCGCAAAATATTGCTGTTTAGATTGGAACCATGTCTGGCGCAATTTTTGACAAGGTCCTTGGTTAGAAAGATCATCGCCTTCGTTTTAAAAACAAGGTTTCGTGCTGTAAAAGGTTTCAGATGTTCCGGTTAAAATATAGAGATATATTGTACTTGGTTGCCAGTTGGATCTTGCACTTGTCCTGGTGTTCTGGTGGAAGGTCTCTGCTGATGAGGATAACCCCTTTGGTGGAGTATGTTGGTAAACTCTCCTGTAATAGGAGCGGGTAAATGCGCTATCACTGAGGAGACCGGGATTCGAACCCGGGACCCTCCGAACTCTAGACGGACGCGCTACTAATTGAGTTACCTGGTCGCCGGCACACGATCAAGTCCAGTGTGCTTTATTCTTCTTCACATCTGGTGTGATGACTCTTTGTAAAAATCACTATTAACGGGGAAAAAATCCTCTTCCAATAGAGAAGTAGGTCTACAGTACCTACCGTAGAACTTCAGTATCATTTCCCGCTGGTATAGAAGAAGTAACAGAATGATTACGTCATAGTCATGCCACGTCATTAAGCTAGCCACGTGTCTCTTCATGACAACAAACTCACTACACAGCGGCAGTCGCACAAAGTTTTATGAGCGCCAAATTAAAAGTTTGGGCCTGATTTATTCACAGAAGCAACTTGACTGCTGTAACCGTATATCAAAATAAGGTAAGGCCTGTTTTGTGTACTGTTTTTGCAATGTTAAATTTTTGAATATTGTACAATGTAAGTTTATGATGAAAACATGTCAATAAGAATTAACCTGCAATACAATGTGAGAATATAGTAGTCGTAGACTAATGGTATGACGTCGACAACGGTGAGTTAACAACGGTGAGAAGACAATGCCCTCCTTTTTGTTTACAAAAATACTGGATATGTAATAGACAGTGATTGATAGTCAACGATGTAATTATACAGCACCAGTTATATTGTAAAACATGGACGAATATATATTTTTTCTACGCGTTCGAATTATCTGCACATTATCTTTGCATTGCAGTGGATGACATGTTCAAATGAGAAACATTTCGATTTTGTTAACATCAACACAAATTCGTTTACAGTATATTTCACACAAAGATATGCCCAGAAACACAGGCCACGGAAATGATTCCAGGCCGGCGACTGTTGTCAAGTATATCACACAGGGGAATTTCTTCCATAACAACCAGAGCTTGGATGTTGAAGGTCAGCAACCTTCAAAGGAACCCAAGGTCAAGCATAAACAAGTGATAAAGCAATGCAGAAAAAGACAGATGGAAACAAATGAGACAACACAACAACACCGTAAGATTGCAGGAAATCCTTTCATTGAAATGAACAGTCAACAGAAGGCCAGAAATATATGTTACACACAAAAGTACCCAAGAACCAAGAAGACAGACTTCAACGTATCAAGTAAAGCTAACGACGAGGAGAAATCCTTACCAGAACGGAAAAGTTATTTTGATGATAACCGCACTTCCCCTGACTTTATCGAAAGTTTCCGTGAGTTTTTCCAAATCTGTTTTACAAGGTTTCGCATTATATTTAGATTTAAAAATTTAAATCCTAAACAGGAATACATTATGTATTAGTCTTCCTGATATTGTTTCCATTTATGACATTTTCTGGGTAATCCTCAATAACGTAGATTATGTCTTCCTCATTAACAGTGATTCTACCTTTGTGACAATCTTGATAATGTCGAAAAAATAGAAATTGCATATGAAGAATTTGTTTCTAAAGAAAAAATAAAATAAAAATATTCTGAAGAATTCAATTATAAACAACAACAAAACAACTCGTTCCGCATTATTGCCACAACTATCAATCGAAATATCTTTTTCTGTATTATATTGATACCGTCTTCTCTCTACCATCATACAGGAAAGAACAGAACTCGTCTCAGACCTGACCCGGATGTATACGATTGGCCCAAGGAATGGCTCCCTAAACCCGACACCCCACTAGTGCCCGCCAATACGTCAGCATTGAGGGTAAGACCACGTGTAATCTAGAACTACCGTTACGACTTCACTGTGATGTAATGTGCAGTGTCCCCCCGTTATATACTTCACTATCCCACTTTTTATATGTTACATAAATGTTGGCTCGTGACATACGAAACAAATGTGTTTCCAGTAACCCAACCTTCCCGTCTTAACCATTAGTGAAGTTTCCACATATAGCTGTCAACCCCAGCGGTAGTTAGCTCTATTATCTATGTGACACTATGTGACGTATTATCATTCGGTACCACATGGACCAATTTACGTTTCTATAGTAAACTTGACCTATTTCTGCCTAAACTGTTTCAATTTAAACATTTCTCTCTGATCTATGCGTCACCATTCCTTTTTTTCAACATTTCTCCTTCTTAATTCTTTCCTGACTTCTTTTCGCCTCTTCGCCTCTGCATCTATAAGATTGACCCTCCGAAATCAAAACCACCTTGTCATGTCTTTGAGAATACGTTCTACCTGCAATCTCCACCCAAAATGAGGTCCGAAATGGAACCTTGGAAACTAGACTTCGACTACAACCCGGATGTTGAAATGGCTCGGTAAGGAACAGAACAGAAATACACATAGATTAGCAGTACTGCTCGCTTGTATAAGTTGTGTAACTTGCAATTGAATATCTTGTACATGTATGTAGCCGTTATGTTCCACACAAATAGAGAACACGGGTGTTGTTAAAGAAATAATGAGTTCTTTATTCTTCAATGCTTGGTACAGTACAATTCACAGAGGCAGGGCAGGTGGCATAGATAGCATGTATTTACATACCATATATTTAATGTATTCTGTAGACACTCTGTGTATGGCACAGAGCCATCCTACATGCTTCTGTTCCTGCCACCTCTGTACAAGTTTCGAATAATTTTTGTAACTGCCTGGAATACTTTAAAGACAAGTAGATAGAGCTTGTGATCAGCTTGGCAGGCAGGAGTCTAACTGACCTAACAATGATATTCCCGCCAAGACTGACCAACAAGGGATTATAAAAATAGCGACCAATAAAAAGCAAGACAAGAACATGGACCCTGGACTTAAATCACTGGGCGTAAACTGTTACACTGAAAATAGCAACACATTACACAAAATACATAGAACACCACACCCTGTAACATGTAACGCCAACAAATGGACAAACAAATACACAAAACACCCTGGGCACATAAAAATGGATATTTATACACAATTATAACATTTACTATATATGACAATAAAATTGACCCTGTTACATGTATTTGATCCTAAGTGATGCATTAGGAACCGCAGATCAGTGTTAGATATCCCCTCAACAGAGGACACAGGGGAAAACATTTTGTTGAGGAATCCAAATTAACTTCTCATGAAAGTTCATTGAGGTACAGCGGGTCCGTATTTCCCCTAAATCTGTTTGAGTATTTATGAACAAAAGTTTATAATTTCCATGATATATTCAATACAGAATAAAAAAGATCAAGAAAGCAGAAAAACAACTGCTACACACAGTGTCCGGACGTCGTAGAACACACAGGGAGAAGTTGGATATAAAAAACGAGGCCGAGAGTATTGTCGACATTGAGGAAAACCTGGAAAAGACGGCAAAATACAACGAAAGGAAGAAAACGAACATGGAGGTTAGTGTAAATAACTCGACATTATTTCTAGTGACACTGTAAAGTTAACGAGAATCGCCTACTTTAACATAGGAGGAAGATGACTTTTGGACGATAGAAGCTCATCAATAGAAGAGGTTTTCATGTTACACTAGAATGATAGTTTTGTTGAACTTATCAAGGTTGATTCGAATATTTGCATCAAAATGTCAGAAAATAGGAAAATCGGTACGATATCTTGTATATATATGATATCAGAATTCCGGAAACCAAATTAACCGGTGCAGATTTAATGGGATCCGATATTATATTTTTGTTGATTATAATGTTCAAGATTAACTATATTTCCAGATAATGAGGCGAGTGTACAGAGAGAGGGACTTGGGTAAACCTCCAGATACAAATGACATAAGAGAAATGGCAATGGACATCAAATGCAAAGTTTACCTCAAAACCATGAAGGTTTCACATCCAGGGTATAACCACACCAAGAAAAGTGAAACAGATCACGGAAACATGGATTTTGATTTCACGATCCCCAACGAAGATACCATCACCAACGAGGCTAGAAAAATCACAAATCAAATTTTCCAGAAGACAGAATCTGCTTTAGAGAGGGACTTGGGTGTTGTCATCCACGAGCCCAAGCCTCGACCCAGTGCTGGTGTCAACTATGTATACGATGCTTACAAAAAAGAGAGAGAAAGTGTTCTAGCTCATAATTCCTACAGCAATCATGGATGGGGGACAAATCGTATAGGAACAGACCTAGACACGACAAAGGCAAATGAAGGCCAACGAATGACACTGTGGTATGGACACGAGAACTACAGGAAGCTACAACAGTATGAAAAAGGAAAACATCACGGAATTATAGCTGGCTGTAGTAGTAGCAACTCAAACAGTACAAACCGTAAAGATGAAGAAATGGACGGCCCTATAGATGGATATGACAATGAAGAAAGTGACGATGGCGAGGAATTGGAAGAGGATATCCCCTCGCCGCCTCGTATGACATTGTGGTATGGACACAGTCAGAGCATTGGGGATGACGAAGACGTGGCGATTGATTTGATGCACGGTGCTATTCGAAAGAGGAAACTCGATTTTGACGTCGATGGCGAGGAGGAGTTTCACAGCGTCAAGCACAGGCCTACACTTTTGTATGGAGAACACGAACTGATGGTGATAGAGGAGGACGTAGTGGGGAACGACGTCAAGCTAAATCATAATGGATTAGGAGGAGAGAAAGATGGTGCGACGGTGAATGACGGAAAAAAGGACGACGCTGAGGTAAGCTTCACCAGAACAGTGCCTTTCCTGTATCTGTCCACAGAGGATCTCCCGCATAGGATTCGAATTGAGACCTTCACGTTCGAAAGGACACCACAGCAGAGCACCAACACCAACGATCGGTTTCTCTACAGCCCTCGATGTGTCATCCTGTAGAATTGTCACTTTAAATAATTTCGCAAACTCTCGATAGAGACATTCGAATCTTAACATATGACCATCTAGTCGTACCATCTTTCAATATTAATTGAACATTTGGCCTTACCAATGCTTCTGATGAGTGGTATGGTAGCAATTACTAGGCATAATATAAAGTGTATGGGAGTATGCAGTAGTTTGAATAATGTTTGAAAACTACATTCGTGGTAATCCGAAGCTTGCATTTGTTTGATGAAGATCAATATTTATGTGAGAAGCCACAAGTCTGACGTACATTTAAAACTATCAATTAATTTTACCAACATTAAAATGATCATAATTGGTATTATGTGTTTAAATAATATTTCTATTAAATGTCCAAAAATGTCATACATCACAAAAGCAGAGAATTGAATGAAAATAATGAAATCTATTTTGTCAACTTAACAGGTGTTTTATCTGTTGCCAGATAGGATGATCTACTTAATATCTGTGATTCTTTCACGTTACATTATTTTACCTACACACTTCAGAATTAAACTGTTATATTTGTTATATTAAAGCCTTTAATTTTTGTAGACATGTTTTTTTTAATTGTTTACAATTAGTTCAATACAAAATGATTTACACCATTGATAACCTCTTCATTTATTAATGTTTCAGTAGACAACAGATATGTATACCACATACCTTGTCTTTGAACAAAAAATATTGCTAAGACTGTATAATTTTCGTGGGCTTGCAGACGTATCTCGCGTTGTGCATTGAATTAGCGATTTTGGTTTAAGATAGTTCATACTCAAAACTTTTCACGAGTTTTAAACTATCAGATTGAAGTCTTTCCATAATATCGCTAAAATTGCAGGGCAGCAAACATTACAATATATATCCTAGAAATATTCTAGGTTTTATATTTAATTGTTTGACTCCTGCTCTTACGAAAGATCACAATGGACAATGGGGTCTGTTTCGCTTACCTTTAGAAAATGGCATGCATGAATTTAAAAAATAAAATAATGGCCAAAGCTCTGACGTTATAAACCAAGTTACTGATGTATTTCCGTCCTTAAATGACCATAGCTGTTGATAGGCCATTAAAAAATACTAAACCAAACCAAACCAAACCTACTGGTGTATTTCTACGCATGGTATATCTACACCATAGTTTCAATATCTTGGTGCGATATAAACCATCATATGTCTACAAGGATTACAGGAAATTCGGATCAAACTAGGTGACCAGCAATGACTCGAAAACTACGTACAATCACATCAGTATTCGGATTTCCTAACGCACGTGTACAACTACATCCGATGGGTTTGAATGTCCGAGTAACAGCGAAAGAAGAGTAAAGCTGAGAGACTACAGACTGAAAGATAGACACACGTATTCAAGTACAAAGTTGGTTAATTTCGAAAATCAACTAGAACGTTTCTAGCTACAATGACCACAAATCTTGCTGTTATCTTAGTTGGCGTAGAATCTGACTTCTCTGATTAGTACTGTTCTGGGGAAGTTCAAACGAACCATTTACGACCCTTGGTATCATATTAACCCATTTCAAGTATTCTCCTTTTCCTATCTTAACTGTGAAACATCAAAGTACATATCCGCTGATATTACTGCTTCCTAAACATGATTCTCTGTTAATTCTTTGTAATACAAACTAGCTAGACATTGATTTTACTAATAAAATCCAGGGTCATGAACTTTTGAATGGTAGTTTTGAAAAAAGACAGCATACGACAAGATCAATTATTCTGCATTAGTAAAAATTGCGTCTGATAAGCCAAGACCTTAACAGGGACCGCTTTCCATAAGCACTACATCCCTGCAGGTGGGGGATCGGGAAACAATACACCTGCTGTTACACATGGCATATACCGTAAGAGGCGACTAATGTGGGAACCGCCTGTAGAATTGGGGATTTGCTTTTGCGCCTTCTACTTGGGGATCAAAAGCGACCAAAATAAATCTGCTGCACCCATTGCAACATTTGAGATATTTATCTTTCTTTCTACTTCTAACTACCTTTTATTTCCTAGCGCCTAGCTTGCCATATTGATCGAATATTGTTGACGTGTTGCTAATCTTTCTATTTTTAAAAGTCAACGAAGCAGAAATTACTTGAAGATGTAAAATAGAGATGATAACTATACTTCAAACTAGAGAGTGCTGTATATAAAAAAATATGTATTTAAATTATTGACAGCTGTTGAGGAAAGTATTAAGCGGTCTAAATGCGGTGTTTTCGATCTTTGAGTAATGCTACTAGCGGTGTTCTAAGTAGTATGTTCGGTTCCATTTAAAGGGATAATAGTTCTATTAACATCTTATTAGTGAAAACAATACCTTACTTATCTCAATGTCAGGCAACACCAAACACATGCAGTTAGGAAACTTAATCAGTAGTTGTCTGTCGTGTATGAATTCTGACACAGTGGATCCTGTAGCGCGAATTCTGCAATATGAAAACGCAAAACGTTGACACAGCGAAATTAGATCACTTTACTATAACAAGTGTACATAACTGGATAGACATTAATCTCTGCAAATGCTGGAGATGGAATCAGATATACTGTTGGGTTAAGCATGCTCTGCTCCTCGTATTGTATACCCGTTATGGGAATGATAAATTCGGAGAATATGACGTTTTGGGAAACACTTACTGGGCTATGTTCGATGAAAAACATATCATCCATATTCATTTTCAGGCGATACATGACTGAACTAAGACAGTTCTGGTGTTATCACTGCATAGGGAAGTTTGGTGCATTAACGGAAGTTAATGATGAGGCAACCACACATCATCCGGACATTGCTGTTCAATATTGGACGAAACAACAGGGAAGTTACAGTACCAATCAAAACTTCTTCCGTCCTGGCGTAAATAATTTGTATTTGACGCAGAGAGTAATACATGTTGGAACTTCAAACATTATTGTATTCCACTCTTTACAACACAATGTATTGATTCTGCAGATTTTATTGTTATATAACTGGAACTGTCAATTTATGACTAATAGAATCTTCCCCTACCTTGAGGGTGTGCCAGAGAAATCTCCAACCCGAGGGGTGATGCTTTTTGGTTGTCTAACCCGAGGCTCTCCCTCGGCTACAACTTTGTGACAATAGACGAAGAAACTGACAAAATCAGGACACATTACACGAAACTGAACCGAGGTGTAAACAAATACACGTGTTTACAATGTATATGCAAACGTATAGAGTAGTATTAAACTTATGCAACTTTGTAAGAAAGTATCGAGATATGTAAGAAGAAAAATACGATTATGTATCACTTCTCAATCGTCCCGCTCAACAACTTTAAGCCGCAAAATATATTGCCATATTACACGTATAACCAGCGTGACACATGGACCTGAGAATTTGTTACAGCTATATTTGGACCTAAACTAAGGTTTTAGGGGTTAAGATCGACTTTCGGTAAAATCATTGGGGTGTCATTTTTACCAAAAGTCGATCTAAACCCCTAAAACGTGTAAAATTACTCTGAACACCTTAGTTAAGGTCCAAATATAGCTGTAACAAATTCTCAGGTCCCTGTGCAGCGCGAGGGTGGCGGTGTCACAGATGATGCCACATGTCCCACAATTCAGCAAGTCATCAAAGGTACAAGTGTTGGATTGTGTACAGCAGATCAGAGGTCACTTGGATATCTCCAAAAGAAAAGCTCAAATTCTACAAGGAATCCCACTTTCTTATCACGATGATGAAGGGGGATACTAACTAATACTCCTTAAACAAGCACGGGATGTATCACCTTAAGCACTCTGTGTGGACACGGAATTAGATTGTTATCTAAGTCCGTGGTGTGGATAAGGCTATCAGATCAGTATTGAATTCACAGAACTTCGACCACAGGAGGATTCAGACCCATAGTTCCCTGCCCAACAAATAATATCAGTAGCTTATCCTATTTCCATGTTTTATTTGAAAACTCACTCAATTAACAACATCCCTGTTGCCCCTCTTTGTGCAATGTCTGCTAAAATGTCGTTCAGCTCTGATCTCCATAGGATCATATTTTTGGACATGTTTAACCACAAGAGCATTGCTATAGGATGAAATTCAATGCTAAAAGGTATACAACAGGGGTAAGGAAGCTACTACAATAACACAAAGGAAATCATGTGATAATCCGTTTATTGCGAACTTTTCAGTAACAATTGCACTTATATGACATACAGGTGTAGACTCTGTATCCCCATACATACTTAGCACTTCTATGATACATAATTTACATAATTACTAAAACAACTTCCATACACTGACACAAATTCACACAATTAATACAACTAATTAATCATGGAAACATCATCATAAAGATACAACTGAACAATTCCCTCCTGATTCACCAGATAATTAACATAAATATTATATTGAGTATAGTGTTATTAAATATTCTCCCATTCCGTGAGCAATGAACCAATTACAGAGATAATTTCTACGGTATGATGGATGTGGTAAAAATGAAACAGCTGTCAAACTCTTGGTTCACAGACAACTGTTCCCATTACTAGTTATCCCTGAGGACTATTGAAATTAACGGGCAATTCAACAATGAATTAAAAGAATGTTTGAAAAGTAAGTGGTACATGATAAGATATGTATAAGTAATATAATGTGATATAATCTATGAATGTGTAAATAATGTATATAATATAGATTGTGACATGTTGTATTGTTGCAAAATTTAGAAATTTAATTCAATATAAAAAACAAGAGGCCCAGAGGGCCTGTATCGCTCACCTGGATACCTAAGCAATCATGGCAAACTATTCTCCAAATGAGATCAAGGGAATATGCCAGACGACCCCAAGGCCAATCCTTGTAGCATAGCTATATTAGATTTTTCATGCCCAGCAATTTTATGTATGGTTATGGGGTGGGGATCTCAACTGTTTCCAAGCTTTGACTCAGAAACTAGGTCCCTAGAGTTGTGGCCAGACCCCAGGATCGATTCTAATATCGTGACTGCATTTGTCTCTTTTTGCCAAGCATTTGTATATATAGTTTTGGGGTGGGGATCTCAACCGTTTCAAAGTTATGACCCAGGGGCCAAGTCTGCAAGGGTGGGGCAGACCCTGGGATCAATTCTAATGTCATGACTGCATTCGTCTCTTTATGCCCAACAATTGTATATATAGTTTTGGGGTGGGGATATTAACCATTTCAAAGTTATGACCCAGGGGTTAAGTCTCCAAGGGTGGGGCAGTCCCCAAGGCCAACCTGGAAGCATATGTGCAATCATCTCTTTATACTCAGCAATTGTATATATACGGTTATAGGGTGGGGCTCTCAACTGTTTCCAAGCTGTGACTAAGAAACTAGGTCCCTAGGGGTTCGGTCAGACCCCAGGGTCTATTCTGATATCATGATTGCATTCGTCTCTTTATGCCCAGCATTTGTATATATAGTTTTGGGGTGGGGATCTCAACCGTTTTAAAGTTATGGCCCAGGGACTATGTCTCCAAGGGTGGGGCCAGACCCTAGGGACATCCTGGAAGCAAATGTGCATTCTTCTCTTTATACTCAGCAATTGTATATATGGTTATATGGTGGGGATCTCAACCATTTCCAAGTAATACATTTTATTGGCCCCACCCCTTAGCCCGGGGGGTCAGCCCCACCATTTGTACAATTTTGAATCCCTGCCTCCCATGAATACTTCCGACCAAATATGATCAATATCCATGGCATAGTTCTGCAGAAGAAGTCATTTATAGCAATATAACCAAATTGCCCCCTTTTGGCCCCGCCCCTCAGCCCCCTGGGGGGTCAGCCCAACCGTTTGTACAATTTTGAATCTCCACCACCTAGAGATGCTTCCAGTCAAATAAGGTTGATATCCATCACTTAGTTCCAGAGAAGAAGTCACTTAAAGCAGTATAGCCAAATACCCTTTTTGGCCCTGCCCCTCAGCCCCCTGGGGGGTCAGCCACACCATTTGTACAATTTTAAATCCCTGCCTCCCAGGAATGCTTTTGATCAAATATGATTGATATCCAGTGCACAGTTCTACAGAAGAAGTCGTTTGTAGCAATATAGCCAAATGGCCCCCTTTTGGCCCAGCCCCTTAGCCCCCTGGGGAGTCAGCCCCTTCGTTTGTACAATTTTTAATCACCATCACCTAGGGATGCTTCCAGTCAAATATGGTTGATATCCACTTCTTAGTTCCAGAGAAGAAGTCACTTAAAGCAGTATAGCCAAATCCCCTTTTTGGCCCCGCCCCTAAGCCCCCTGGGGAGTCAGCCCCATAATTTGTACAATTTTTAATCACCATCACCTAGGGATGCTTGCAGTCAAATATGGTTGATATCCACTTCTTAGTTCCAGAGAAGAAGTCGCTTAAAGCAATATAGCCAAATTGCCCCATTTTGGCACGCCCTCAGCCCCACCATTTGTACAATTTTTAATCACCATCTCCTAGGGATGCTTGCAGTTAAATATGGTTGATATCCTCTTCTTAGTTCCAGAGAAGAAGTCACTTTAAGCAGTATAGCCAAATCCCCTTTGCGGCCCCGCCCCTAAGCCCCCTGGGGGGTCAGCCCCATCATTTGTACAATTTTGAATCCCTGACACCTAGGGATGCTTGCAGTTAAATATGGTTGATATCCACTTCTTAGTTCCAGAGAAGAAGTCACTTTAAGCAGTATAGCCAAATACGCTTTTTGGCCCCGCCCCTACTCCCCCTGGGGGGTCAGCCCCATCATTTGTACAATTTTGAATCTCCACCACCTAGAGATGCTTCCAGTCAAATATGGTTGATATACCATTCTTAGTTCCAGAGAAGTCACTTAAAGCAGTATACCAAAATCCCCTTTTTGGCCCCGCCCCTACTCCCCCTGGGGGGTCAGCCCCATCATTTGTACAATTTTGAATCTCCACCACCTAGAGATGCTTCCAGTCAAATTTAGTTTAATTCCAACCAGTGGTTAAGGAGAAGAAGTCGTTTAAAGAAATTGTTGACGTACAGACGGATGACCGACGGACGACGGACGCCACGGTATGGCATAAGCTCACCTTGGTCCTTCAGACCAGGTGAGATAATTAGAGGGGCTCTTACAAACAAAATGAAAACAAAGTGGAAATCAGGAAGGGCTAATTCCAGTTTTAAGGGTCCAAAGCCCCCAGGGTCCCTCCTCCAGTATTATGAGTAAAGCACCATCCTGGATTTTTTTCTCTGTTTTTCTTTACTTTTTGTAAAGATAATGTGAAGCCCGCTTTTGTTTCATAGTATTTATAATAGAATTAAGAAAATGGAATGTGCTTTCTTGGAAACATTTGAAAATAAATTCATGAAATTGAAGAAAAATGTCTAAATCTCCTTTTGAATGCATCCCAAATATAATTATGCAAGGCAAAAGACAAAAATTGAGCATAAGTAACTTTATGTAACAACATACATGCTGAATAGTGTAATAGCTTAAGAATAAGAGGGAGTGCCTAATTGGCAATCTAACTATTCCATCTATGCAGAATAACCCAGGGATGAATTCTATAGTTAAGCAACGTTGAGCGTTGTCAGTGGCTGGGTGCATGCCAACACACTACATTTGGTGGCAGCGGTGGGAATACTTAACACCGGTGGAATAAAATGTGTTTAGACCGATTTCCTGGTAGCCAACACAGTAAAGAAGCACCAATAATGTCATTTCATTTGTATACAACACAATAGACTGACTAAAGGTGCTCTTTATAATATTTTCTTTCAAATACAACATTATATAAATTGCATTCGACCAATGCAGCATATGATGATACATGATACTTGTACATTAATGTGCAGCCCACAAAAATAACACCATTAAATATAATTACAAATATAACAAATTTTCTTACAATTGGACATTACTTCACCGAATCATTCTCAAGTATAAAAGATTGTTTAAATAGATCCTCTTGACATGTCCATTAAAATGGTGTCCTACTTATTAAATTTGACACAGTACGGTATGGCAATCAACATGGATTAAGTTTAATCGGATCATAAATGTAAAAATGGATACATGCATATATACAGAACTAGATGTTGTATTGTGTGGCATTTACAGATGCATGTCCCATAGGACAAGGTCACAACATGAGGTCAAAGGTCAACCATTCTAATGCTGGTCTAGATTTTAACTTTTGAGTATATTTCCATCAAAATGGATGGATGTGTAAATTCTGACTAGAAACGAGTGTAAAGTGCTGTTTAAAGGTCTGTGTCCCTATGTCAAGGTTATTGTAAGGGGTCAAAGGTTAAATAAGCGTTGTATCTGTCCAGACTGATGAATATTTACTCATTAACTTGTATTAGAGTGTTTATCAGAACAGTGTATTTGACAAACAGAGTATAGAGCATTCCTGTATACATGTTGATGATGTAAGGTGTGTGTAAATTCTAAAAATTACTAACACAAGTAAACTACACCAAATGTAAATTACCATTACTGGTAAATAAACCTTAACAGGTAAAATTACCAATGCAGGTAATCACCATCACATGTAAATTCTCATTACAGGTAAATTACCTGCACAGGTAAAATTACCAATACAGGTAAATTACCAACACAGGTAAAATTACTTTACAGGTCAATTACCATTACAGAGGTAAATTACAAACACAGGTAAATTACCATCACATGTATATGTCTTTGGTAACAGTTCACAATTTCTGCTTCTGAATGATAATGAGGCATGTTTTATGCAAAACACAAGGATCTGGCAATATGCTGCAAAACTGACATTTCTGAACACTGACTTTATCATGACTTAGTACCCTACTGTTGTGGTCAGTGTTATTTACTGGCTCACATGAGTAATTATCATAAAACATATTTATCTCCTTACGTGTTTGTATGACTATTTGTGTTAATTGCTTTTGATCACAGTAAAGTTTTTAAGTATCCAGATATTTTGACTTTCAATTTCTATTATGACTAACTGGCCATTTGTTTTGGTCAGTGTGATTAAAATATTGACCAGTGATTGGTTTGTTTTATATTCTCCTTCAATCAGCATGACTTACTGGGGATTCCGAATGGATCACTGTGTCACTGTATATTGAAAATATTAGCCCTTCATTTTCTATTGGTCAGCATGGCTTATGTACTGACCACCGTGTTGGTCAGTGTGATTTATTGACCCATCCTGAATCTGTCACTGGGCTAGTAGGTCTGTGAGGAAAAAGCAGAAGCAGCAAAGCTATGAGTCCCCCGGTTATATAAATAGTAATCACAGTTGTTTCTCTGGGAAGGTAGCACTGCTCCACAGCAAACTCATCTGGGGACAGCACCACCTGCAAGTGTACAACGTATATGGATAAACAAACTGTTTTCATAAGAATAAGATACTCGGCCTAACTTATTTCTAAAGCATCCAGTGAGTCAGTGATTTACACTCCAGTATATATATCTGGGTGGCCTTTCACCAAGGCAGACAGGGTTTGTTTCCCTGATTGGATGTGACAAGGTATGGGGTCACCTACCCGACCACGGGGGGTTTTCTCCAGGTAATCTGGTTTCCTCCCACACTTAGATCCCCCGCGCTTACATCCAAGCCAATAGGAGTGGTTAATATAAGTTGAAATAAGTTGTTTCATAATTGGAGTAAAAATAAATAAATTTATATTTATATATATTTAAGTATTTCTCATAAATTTAGAAAAATCGTTTGATACGTAAGTGTTATATTAGCTGTTTTAGGTAGCAATACAGTACAAGGAACATCCGAACATCAGAATTAATGCTGATCACCAATGTTAGGATTATAATATCACATTTACACTAACTCTATGACCAACTGTCAGAGTAATTGTCTTATATATGTAAACAGGATCTGTGATGTTCACAAATTGGGAACTGTAATAAAAAATAGAAAAAAGAAATAAGACCTGCAAGCATTTGAGCCTTGAAAGAAGTCATCATAGAAACTGGAATAGCACAATATGCAGTGGATTAAGGTTTCTTTGGTAACTAACCTGTAAAAATGTAGGATTGTTTTTGTTGCGCCAACTAAAGGAGGCAACTGTCCACTCTGGAACAGCGTTGTCATGGAGATGATAGCATCCATGGTGTGTGTGAGCACTTAAGATAAGGCGAGGTCTGATCCAATCAAAAACCTTTGTTAAACAGAAAGATTATTATTATTATAAACATTCATTGTAGTAATCTGATATTCACCAAGTTTGATAATTAAATTCTGGCAGTTGAAAAAACCCATAATAGAGGTTTATATTTTTTTCAATGCCTTTGCTAGGGTTCAAATTTGGGACCTCTGGTATGCTCAACTCATTAAAATCAGAAAAACTTAAGTGACATTTGTTTTAAAATGTGACAATTGTATTTTGAAGTAAAAGAAAAGATGATTTAAGTAATGTGTGGCTAGAAAAATATCTGTGATATTAATATACAGTATTATGACAACTGCTTAATTCAAACCAAATATACATACTGTAAATATAACAGTGCATCAGGCTTTATAACACTGAGGACAGTATATCAAATACCTGATGGCTAGATTCTTCAGACAGGCAGTCCCATTTCTCCTTGAAAGGAATATCCTTTTCATCAGGGGGTGCAGAATCTGGTAAACTACAGTTTGCATCTGAAGGCCGGTACATAGGAAAATGCTAAAAAAGAAACAAAATTAAAAATAAACACTTCTCTATTATTATAGATTTTAGCAGAAATTCCTAAGAAATTCAATGTTTACAAATCATTTCATTTTCAAAGTATAATTTTTAACTATTTAAGGTAATATGCTACCTTGAACATTTTAACTGATTTGTTAAAGGTTTTTCTCTCTTAAAACTACTTAATTGACATTAGTTACACATACTTATAACTAACAAATACTTAGACACTGTAAAGAATGCTATCTGTCACATTCCTATTTACTTTTCATATGAGTCATTAGTTTTGAAATTTATAATAATTTACAATTTTTATCTCGTGTGGAGCGGCTTGGCCGAGAACATGCATGTCAAAGTAAATAAACAGGTTAACATACATGAGGACAGGGACAGTCCTGTGTCCAATTCACACTTGTAATAACTAATATCACAAATGTTTTTTTACTTACCTGTAGTAATATTGGTGGAGAGTACGATAGTTTATCCATGGCATCACATATGGGTGGTGAGCTTTTTTGGGAAGTTTGTCCCTAGGAAAGAGAAGAAGCTATCAATATCAGTATCTACCTGTGGTATATGTTTTGGGAAGTTTGTCCCTAGGAGAGAGAAGAAGCTATCAATATCAGTATCTATCTGTGGTATATGTTTTGGGAAGTTTGTCCCTAGGAGAGAGAAAAAGCTATCAATATCAGTATCTACATGTGGTATATGTTTTGGGAAGTTTGTCCCTAGGAGAGAGAAGCTATCAATATCAGTATCTACCTGTGGTACATGTTTTGGGAAGTTTGTCCCTAGGAGAGAGAAAAAGCTATCAACATCAGTATCTACATGTGGTATATGTTTTGGGAAGTTTGTCCCTAGAAGAGAGATGAAGCTATCAATATCAGTATGTACCTGTGGTATGTGTTTTGGGAAGTTTGTCCCTAGGAGAGAGAAAAAGCTATCAACATCAGTATCTACATGTGGTATATGTTTTGGGAAGTTTGTCCCTAGAAGAGAGATGAAGCTATCAATATCAGTATGTACCTGTGGTATGTGTTTTGGGAAGTTTGTCCCTAGGAGAGAGAAGCTATCAATATCAGTATCTACCTGTGGTGTATGTTTTGGGAAGTTTGTCCCTAGGAGAGAGAAAAAGCTATCAACATCAGTATCTACATGTGGTATATGTTTTGGGAAGTTTGTCCCTAGAAGAGAGATGAAGCTATCAATATCAGTATGTACCTGTGGTATGTGTTTTGGGAAGTTTGTCCCTAGGAGAGAGAAGCTATCAATATCAGTATCTACCTGTGGTACATGTTTTGGGAAGTTTGTCCCTAGGAAAGAGAAGAAGCTATCAATATCAGTATCTACCTGTGGTATGTTTAGGGAAGTTTGTCTCTAGGAGAGAGATGAAGCTATCAATATCAGTATGTACCTGTGGTATATGTTTTGGGAAGTTTGTCTCTAGTAGAGAGAAGAACCTATCAATATCAGTATCTACCTGTGGTATATTTTTTGGGAAGTTTGTCTCTAGTAGAGAGAAGAACCTATCAATATCAGTATCTACCTGTGGTATATTTTTTGGGAAGTTTGTCTCTAGTAGAGAGAAGAACCTATCAATATCAGTATCTACCTGTGGTATATTTTTTGGGAAGTTTGTCTCTAGTAGAGAGAAGAAGCTATCAATATCAGTATCTACCTGTGGTGTATGTTTTGGGAAGTTTGTCCCTAGGAGAGAGAAAAAGCTATCAATATCAGTATCTACATGTGGAATATGTTTTGGGAAGTTTGTCCCTAGGAGAGAGAAAAAGCTATCAACATCAGTATCTACATGTGGTATATGTTTTGGGAAGTTTGTCCCTAGAAGAGAGATGAAGCTATCAATATCAGTATGTACCTGTGGTATGTGTTTTGGGAAGTTTGTCCCTAGGAGAGAGATGAAGCTATCAATATCAGTATGTACCTGTGGTATGTGTTTTGGGAAGTTTGTCCCTAGGAGAGAGAAGCTATCAATATCAGTATCTACATGTGGTATATGTTTTGGGAAGTTTGTCCCTAGAAGAGAGATGAAGCTATCAATATCAGTATGTACCTGTGGTATGTGTTTTGGGAAGTTTGTCCCTAGGAGAGAGAAAAAGCTATCAACATCAGTATCTACATGTGGTATATGTTTTGGGAAGTTTGTCCCTAGAAGAGAGATGAAGCTATCAATATCAGTATGTACCTGTGGTATGTGTTTTGGGAAGTTTGTCCCTAGGAGAGAGAAAAAGCTATCAACATCAGTATCTACATGTGGTATATGTTTTGGGAAGTTTGTCCCTAGAAGAGAGATGAAGCTATCAATATCAGTATGTACCTGTGGTATATGTTTTGGGAAGTTTGTCTCTAGTAGAGAGAAGAACCTATCAATATCAGTATCTACCTGTGGTATATTTTGTGGAAAGTTTGTCTCTAGTAGAGAGAAGAAGCTATCAATATCAGTATCTACCTGTGGTACATGTTTTGGGAAGTTTGTCCCTAGGAGAGAGAAGCTATCAATATCAGTATCTACCTGTGGTATATTTTGTGGAAAGTTTGTCTCTAGTAGAGAGAAGAAGCTATCAATATCAGTATCTGCCTGTGGTATATGTTTTGGGAAGTTTGTCCCTAGAAGAGAGATGAAGCTATCAATATCAGTATGTACCTGTGGTATGTGTTTTGGGAAGTTTGTCCCTAGGAGAGAGATGAAGCTATCAATATCAGTATCTACCTGTGGTATATTTTTTGGGAAGTTTGTCTCTAGGAGAGAGAAGAAGCTATCAATGTCAGTATCTACCTGTGGTATATGTTTTGGGAAGTTTGTCTCTAGTAGAGAGAAGAAGCTATCAATATCAGTATCTACCTGTGGTATATGTTTTGGGAAGTTTGTCCCTAGGAGAGAGAAGAAGCTATCAATATCAGTATCTACCTGTGGTATATGTTTTGGGAAGTTTGTCCCTAGGAGAGAGAAGAAGCTATCAATATCAGTATCTACCTGTGGTATATGTTTTGGGAAGTTTGTCCCTAGGAGAGAGAAGAAGCTATCAATATCAGTATCTACCTGTGGTATATGTTTTGGGAAGTTTGTCCCTAGGAGAGAGAAGAAGCTATCAATATCAGTATCTACCTGTGGTATATGTTTTGGGAAGTTTGTCCCTAGGAGAGAGAAGAAGCTATCAATATCAGTATCTACCTGTGGTATATGTTTTGGGAAGTTTGTCCCTAGGAGAGAGAAGAAGCTATCAATATCAGTATCTACCTGTGGTATATGTTTTGGGAAGTTTGTCCCTAGGAGAGAGAAGAAGCTATCAATATCAGTATCTACCTGTGGTATATGTTTTGGGAAGTTTGTCCCTAGGAGAGAGAAGAAGCTATCAATATCAGTATCTACCTGTGGTATATGTTTTGGGAAGTTTGTCCCTAGGAGAGAGAAGAAGCTATCAATATCAGTATCTACCTGTGGTATATGTTTTGGGAAGTTTGTCCCTAGGAGAGAGAAGAAGCTATCAATATCAGTATCTACCTGTGGTATATGTTTTGGGAAGTTTGTCCCTAGGAGAGAGAAGCTATCAATATCAGTATCTACCTGTGGTATATGTTTCGGGAAGTTTGTCCCTAGGAGAGAGAAGAAGCAATCAATATCAGTATCTACATGTGGTACATGTTTTGGGAAGTTTGTCCCTAGGAGAGAGAAGAAGCTATCAATATCAGTATCTACCTGTGGTATATGTTTTGGGAAGTTTGTCCCTAGGAGAGAGAAGAAGCTATTAATATCAGTTTTTATATGTGGTACATGTTTTGGGAAGTTCGTCCCTAGGAGAGAGAAGAAGCTATCAATATCAGTATCTACCTGTGGTGTATGTTTTGGGAAGTTTATCCCTAGGAGAGAGACGTCTACAACTCACTGATATTTATTTCACAAGTGTTACAACATCACCAGTGTCAAAGTTATGGCCGGGGAATCAAGTCACTAGGGGTGGGGCCAGAACCCAGAGTCAATTCTAATATCATGACTCTGTTTATCTCTTTATGCCCATCAATTATATATATGGTTATAGGGTGGGGATTTTCACAGTTTCAAAGTTATGACCTAGGGACCAAGTCTTCAAGGGGAGGGGGCCCAGACCGGGGAGCCATCCTGTAGTAATGTGTATTAATTGTCTCTTTATGCTCAAGCATTGTATATAAGATTGCCAGGTGGGGATCTCGATAATGTCAAAGCTAGAAATTCCTTTTGAAATAACCCACTCCTGCCACTCAGACTGAGGGGTCAACCCGTCACTGGTTAAAATTACATGAAGGAATCCCCACCAAACTAAGAATGCTCCCAACAAAATATATGTTGATACCCATCATTTCGTTCTAGAGAAGAAATTGATTAAAACAATATTGCCAAATTACCCTTTTTTGGCCCCACTCCTCAGCCCCACAGGGGACAGCCCTTCAATTTGTACAATTCTGAATCCACACTATCTGAGATTGCTTCCAACCAAATTCCAGAGAAGAAGTTGCTGTAAAGCAATATGGCCAATTGTTCAAATAAAGGGACTGGGCTTAGGGCTGGCAGGGAGAGAAAGGGTAATTTATATGTGGGTATTATTTATTCACCTCTAACCAATCAAGCAGTGGGTTATATGTGGGTAGTATTTATTCACCTCTAACCAATCAAGCAGTGGGTTATATGCGGGTATTATTTATTCACCGCTTACCAATAAAGCAGTGGGTTATATGTGGGTAGTATTTATTCACCTCTAAACAATTAAGCAGTGGGTTATATGCGGGTATTATTTATTCACCGCTTACCAATAAAGCAGTGGGTTATATGTGGGTATTATTTATTCACCGCTTACCAATTAAGCAGTGGGTCATATGTGGGTATTATTTATTCACCTCTAAACAATTAAGCAGTGACTTATATGTGGGTATTATTTATTCACCACTTACCAATAAAGCAGTGGGTTATATGTGGGTAGTATTTATTCACCTCTAACCAATTAAGCAGTGGGTTATATGTGGGTAGTATTTATTCATCTTTACACAATTGAGCAGTGGGTTATATGTAGGTTTTATTTATTCACCTCTACACAATTAAGCAGTGGGTTATAGGTGGATTTTATTTATTCACCTCTAAACAATTAAGCAGTGGGTTATATGTGGGTAGTATTCATTCACCACTTACCAATAAAGCAGTGGGTCATATGTGAATTTTATTTATTCACCTCTAAACAATTAAGCAGTGGGTTATATGTGGGTAGTATTTAATCACCACTTACCAATAAAGCAGTGGGTTATATGTGGGTAGTATTTGTTCACCTCTAACCAATTAAGCAGTGGGTTATATGCGGGTACTATTTATTCATCTTTACACAATTAAGCAGTGGGTTATATGCGGTTATTATTTATTCAACTCTAACTAATCAAGCAGTGGGTTTTAGGTGGGTATTATTTATTCACCGCTTAACAATTAAGCAGTGGGTTATATGTGGGTAGTATTTATTCACCTCTAACCAATGAAGCAGTGGGTTATATGTGGGTATCACTTATTCACCTCTACACAATTAAGCAGTGGGTTATATGTGGGTATCACTTATTCACCTCTACACAATTAAGCAGTGGGTTATATGTGGGTATTACTTCTTCACCTGTAACTAATTAAGCAGTGGGTTATATGTTGGTATTACCTTTTTTTTTTATATATATTTGTTTTATTTTCAAAAGAATTTTTTCAATACAGTGACAATAATAATGGATCAGTAATTCATTCAGATCATATAATAACCTATTTGTCACCAATCATCTTTCATATCACCATTCATACCATACAGATCATGCCAAAAGAAATTTGTATCACTAAAGACTGCATATGGATAGGTATTATTTCATTTAATATCACACTGTATTGCTATAAGGAAAAAGGAAGGATAAAAGGAAAGAAAGAGAAGCTGGTAAGAAACAAAAAAGAGAAAGAAGAAAAGATAAAGACAGATATCAGAACAAGCATGTCATGGAAGGAAGTCAAACCAGAGCTAGATACTAATTAAAGTTAAGTACAGTATGTAACAGAATTGTTACTGAATAATTAAGATATCAGCCTAAATCATGTCAGGTTTTAGGCAAAATCCACTAATTTCATCCATTTCTTCCATTCATTTAAAACAAAAGGAGACAAGGATCACTTTTACTATATGAAATACATTTTTGAACCACATGGTTTTCTTTTATTACATTAGCTAGAGCCATAACAGAGAGAGTACCATGTATAGTTCTGGTTCTGTAGATATAAGATTTGATTAGAAGAAGAACTTCATTATCAATGCGATTGTAAATGCCTGTGTTATTTACCAAACCAAATAACAATGTTTCTTTATTAATATGTAATGTAATTGTTAGTGCATTTAACAACCTTTCAAAACTTGCCAGAAAATCCTGAACCTCACCACATTCCCATAACATATGCACTATTGTCTCCCTTCCTCTATTACAGAAATTACAATTAGGATTGTTTGATAAGCCTATTGTGGGTATTACCTTTTCACCTCTAACCAATTAAGCAGTGGGTTATATGCGGGTTATATGTGCGTGTTATTCACCTCTGCACACTTGAGCTGCCATGAGATTTCTTCCAATGAGGTGACTGCCTTGGCACACAACTTACATCCATCCCCCTCCATCGCCATGCTATTCATCAACACAAACAGGTTTCCATTGAACTCAAACAGCTGGACGAGAGGCGAGGAAAACGCTTTCTCAAAACGTCTATGTTTATGTTCATCCATCCTGTAAAAAGAAAAAAGTTGCACCAATACCATCCTTACCTTAATTTAATTATGTCTGACAGACCAATGTTGTACTAAAATAAATGTTCCCCTCTGTCATCATTCTAATGAAAACTTAAATTATTTCTTAACCCTATATTTGCAGACAAAGAGGTGTAGTATTAATGTGTATATGATGTGGTTCAAATGTTGTCAGGATTGTATTTTGCACTGCTGAAAATCAGTTACTTCTGCAGAGGAGAAATTAGGAGTTCTATGTCCCAAGATGAAACTGGTTTTGAGACAGTGCACCTTTAACCTACTAGAAACTCTGTGAAAATTCATAATTCTCAACAGGGACTCAATAAAACATTCTGTTTTGTTAAACTGCAAAAATCTCAACAATGAAATGACTATCATTGTCAAAATGCAGGTCAAAATCAGTAGTACTGCATTTAAACAATTAAACTATTTGCCTTTTAATAATTACTAGTACATTGCATTAACATGTCTTAAAAGTATTAACCATAAAGAAAACAGTGATACAAATTATACTAGTTAAAATCTTGCGTATGATACTGGTATTTATCTGACTTTGACAGACTTTGGCATGATGATAATTTGTATGCTGGCATTTTAAAAACTGTTTATTTTGGGAAAAAATCTGTGACAATGCCGATTCTACACTAAATATGTCTGTAACGGAACCCGAGACTAAACAATTTCCGTAGTAGATCAGAAACAGTCTGAGATTAAGTATCACATGCGTACGTAACCTCCTCCACATGAAAGCCATTCTGGTCTCAGTGGAGTATAACATATAGATAGACAGATAGAACAATGTCTGTAGCAGAATAGGAGAGACTTAAAGACAACTCCTGAGAACAAAACATGCCAGTGCCTTTCGTTGTTGTACTTACATATAGTGAAATCCAATGTCATGATTGCCTACCAGAACTTTGGTAGCTGTACCTTTTGGTGTTGCAAACATTTTTTGGAATCTGGCAACATCCTTTTTGAACTCTGCATCATTGGCCCACTTGCCCTCATCTAGCAAATCACCTGTGTGTGGAATGCTTGTGTTGTTTAGTTTTAAGATATTAGCTCAGAATGGTAGCACAAGAGTTCCGTACATATATAAAATTTTAAGAAGATTTCTTTTACAATTGTACCTTACACAACTAGTGATTTACTGTGGTTAATTTATATTTTAAGTGTATTTTTAGAAAGGAATAATAAAATATCTCTTTGACTCAATTACAAATAAACTAGAAAAATGTATCTATAATTTCATCTCAGCATATAAACCATTTCTTTTCATGTTTGTGCTTCAGACTTACATACACAATAACTTTAAATTACAAAAGGATGAAAATCAGGAAGTTCAATCCAACATGATTTGACTGTTTTACCTAGAATAAAAACCACATCAGGGCTATGGATCAGCATACTAGTCTGAAAGGACCTTTCCATCTGCCATTCTCTGGAAATATAAACATTATTCACTTTGATTGGAGTTTTAAATCTTTGTAACATCAAGGTTATATAACATCAGTATTCAGAGATGGTGGGGCCACCTAACAGCTTAGATCATATGACAACAGTATTGAGTGATGGTGGGGGCCACCTAATAGCTTAGATCATATGACAACAGTATTCAGAGATGGTGGGGCCACCTAACAGCTTAGGTAATATGACAACAGTATTGAGAGATGGTGCGGGCCACCTAACAGCTTAGATCTTATGACAACAGTATTCAGTGATGGTGGGGGCCACCTAAGAGCTTAGATCATATGACAACCGTATTCAGAGATGGTGGGGCCACCTAACAGCTTAGGTAATATGACAACAGTATTGAGCGATGGAGGGGGTCACCTAACAGCTTAAATCATATGACAACAGTATTGAATGATGGTAGGGGCCACCTAACAGCTTAGGTAATATGACAACAGTATTGAGAGATGGTGCGGGCCACCTAACAGCTTAGATTATATGACAACAGTATTCAGAGATGGTGGGGCCACCTAACAGCTTAGATTATATGACAACAGTATTCAGAGATGGTGGGGGCCACCTAACAACTTAGGTCATATGACAACAGTATTCAATGATGGTAGGGGCCACCTAACAGCTTAGGTCATATGACAACAGTATTGAGTGATGGTGGGGGCCACCTAACAGCTTAGATCATATGACAACAGTATTGAGTGATGGTGGGGGCCACCTAACAGCTTAGATCATATGACAACAGTATTGAGTGATGGTGGGGGCCACCTAACAGCTTAGATCATATGACAACAGTATTGAGTGATGGTGGGGGCCACCTAACAGCTTAGATCATATGACAACAGTATTGAGTGATGGTGGGGGCCACCTAACAGCTTAGATCATATGACAACAGTATTGAGTGATGGTGGGGGCCACCTAACAGCTTAGATCATATGACAACAGTATTGAGTGATGGTGGGGGCCACCTAACAGCTTAGATCATATGACAACAGTATTGAGTGATGGTGGGGGCCACCTAACAGCTTAGATCATATGACAACAGTATTGAGTGATGGTGGGGGCCACCTAACAGCTTAGATCATATGACAACAGTATTGAGTGATGGTGGGGGCCACCTAACAGCTTAGATCATATGACAACAGTATTGAGTGATGGTGGGGGCCACCTAACAGCTTAGATCATATGACAACAGTATTGAGTGATGGTGGGGGCCACCTAACAGCTTAGATCATATGACAACAGTATTGAGTGATGGTGGGGGCCACCTAACAGCTTAGATCATATGACAACAGTATTGAGTGATGGTGGGGGCCACCTAACAGCTTAGATCATATGACAACAGTATTGAGTGATGGTGGGGGCCACCTAACAGCTTAGATCATATGACAACAGTATTGAGTGATGGTGGGGGCCACCTAACAGCTTAGATCATATGACAACAGTATTGAGTGATGGTGGGGGCCACCTAACAGCTTAGATCATATGACAACAGTATTGAGTGATGGTGGGGGCCACCTAACAGCTTAGATCATATGACAACAGTATTGAGTGATGGTGGGGGCCACCTAACAGCTTAGATCATATGACAACAGTATTGAGTGATGGTGGGGGCCACCTAACAGCTTAGATCATATGACAACAGTATTGAGTGATGGTGGGGGCCACCTAACAGCTTAGATCATATGACAACAGTATTGAGTGATGGTGGGGGCCACCTAACAGCTTAGATCATATGACAACAGTATTGAGTGATGGTGGGGGCCACCTAACAGCTTAGATCATATGACAACAGTATTGAGTGATGGTGGGGGCCACCTAACAGCTTAGATCATATGACAACAGTATTGAGTGATGGTGGGGGCCACCTAACAGCTTAGATCATATGACAACAGTATTGAGTGATGGTGGGGGCCACCTAACAGCTTAGATCATATGACAACAGTATTGAGTGATGGTGGGGGCCACCTAACAGCTTAGATCATATGACAACAGTATTGAGTGATGGTGGGGGCCACCTAACAGCTTAGATCATATGACAACAGTATTGAGTGATGGTGGGGGCCACCTAACAGCTTAGATCATATGACAACAGTATTGAGTGATGGTGGGGGCCACCTAACAGCTTAGATCATATGACAACAGTATTGAGTGATGGTGGGGGCCACCTAACAGCTTAGATCATATGACAACAGTATTGAGTGATGGTGGGGGCCACCTAACAGCTTAGATCATATGACAACAGTATTGAGTGATGGTGGGGGCCACCTAACAGCTTAGATCATATGACAACAGTATTGAGTGATGGTGGGGGCCACCTAACAGCTTAGATCATATGACAACAGTATTGAGTGATGGTGGGGGCCACCTAACAGCTTAGATCATATGACAACAGTATTGAGAGATGGTTGGGGCCACCTAACAGCTTAGATCATATGACAACAGTATTGAGTGATGGTGGGGGCCACCTAACAGCTTAGATCATATGACAACAGTATTCAGGACGACTTTAAGGTTGCACCACAATGAAACATCACAACTAAGTTGGACGAGGTATTAAACATCTCAATAGGTCACAATATACTGACAATTGATTAACCATTGTTAACAAACAAAAGGGGGACACAGTAAATAAGTGAGGAAATGAAGTACAATGTAAATTCTTCCCCATTTGAAGCAATATTACATTTTGACTAAATTAGATATAACATATCAAATATTATGCATGATTAATAATTTCTATTAAAGAACAAATTTTATATATCATCTAGATGACACGATAGCATAGCTGTTTATTTAACTGACAATGTTCGGCCTTCCATTAAAGTTAACATACCTTCGCAATTTATCAAACCAGTGTCCCGTCTTAGATCCCAGTATGTGAGTGTCTGCTATTATCATGGCTTTTACTGGCTTGTTGACATCACCATTTCCATATATAAACCCTTCACTTTGGGGTAATTTTGGCCATTTACACATCAGTAGAACGAAGAAATAATGGAGGAATTCACAATAGAGAAATAGTACAAGCACCATAAAGAAAAACCTCACCAATCTCCTAGATCTGATATAGAAGAACACACGCCCGGGTATCTGACATATTATCCATACCATTGTACCGAGTTTTGTTTTATTCCTCACCACCATTGGCACTGTGTGTTACTCCCCTGACATAGGAATGTGTTGGATCCAAGTGCTGCCATTCATCACTGCACCCAGTTCAAATTGCTGCTAAAATAAAATCGTAAGAAGAGATCATATAATGACAAGTTTATATACAAGCTACATGTAAGAAGGAATGAGATGAGACTTGACTGAGGTATTTATACCAGAACATTGTACTTCTATCAGATAATGACCTACTTCGACAGGTTGAAGGCTATAGGATGTGTGTGTTGTATCACGGAAAGAAAGAGAACAGAATTTGATACTTTAAGGGAGGGATTTGTGTCTTCAAGGAGGATAGAGTATATGCTTAAATAAATTTGCAAGGGAGTTTATTCCAATCATTAATTGTCTGGGAAAAAAAGGAATCTTTCCTCATCGATATTCGCCAGGGAATAGTTTGAGAGGAAGGTTGGTGCCTCAATGTCTTGTTTAGAGGTCATAGGTTCAGGCAGAGCATTTTTCCTTTCCTGTTACTGTGGTGCCTGTGGCCAACCTTGTTTCAAGAACTGTGTGAATGGATGTCTGACAAGGGAATAACCAAACCTGGGTTGTAAATATTGCGGAATTGCACTAGAATTATCGCTGGCAATCAGGAAGCTCAATTAGTTAGAGGTCTGTCTATGGTTCGGAAGGGCTGTTACAAGTTCTGGTTTGGCCTTTTGTGTTTTCCTTTTCTGTTACTCTAAGGTGAGGTACCTAAAATGGAACACTTAAAAAAAAAAAAAAATCCTTTCAAGTTTCTAAAACACCAATTTGTTTTTACTGTGTTTAAACACCAATTTTGTTTTCTTTTAGCCTTCATTTTATGTGTTTCTTGGGTATCAACAGCGGTGTGTCTATTTATACAGCTAATTAAGTTGAGTCAGGTTCACTTGGAAGTTTTAACTAGTTGAATACCCAAAATGGAACACCATGTCATATAAGTCAGTTTATGAAAATAACTGACAGCATTTAAAATATTTTTCTTTATTTGATAAAAAGTTTTGACAATTTCTGACAAATTTCAGTCATTTATTCATTAAAATGATTGTTTGATCAATATTTTCCCATGTTGTCGCTCTGTACTGTTTCCCGGGATTTTTTTTCATTTTATGTTTTTACTATTTCAATTGAGTTCTTGGAAAGCTTACGACATCATGCTCGAAATATATATCGGGGATGAAGGGCCTAGAATATCCAGAAAGATTAAGGAAACTGAATCTACCAACATTAGCATATAGGAGACTTTGAGGGGACATGATCGAAATGTACAAGATGTAAACAGAGTTTACGATAGAGAGGCATGTACTTTTCGTAAAGCTTTGGAGTGGGGAATCAATCAGAAATAGTAGAAGAGGAAACTCAAAAAAAAAATTCCCATATCAGTCAGCAATATCTCTGAGGATAAACTATTTCACATTTTGTACAGTCAAAACCTTGAACAATCTTCTGGAGGATGTTGCATCTGCTCCAAGTATCAATACTTTTAAGAAGGGAATAGATACATGTAATTAACAATGAACTTTAACTTTAAATTATACAATTATTTAATTTTTGAGTCCAGTGTAGAGGACCTCTATCGGCTCCTAGCTGTATTGGAAACTATTTAATTTTAACTCAACTTATTTGTTCATGCGGGCCACTATGGAGGATTTCTTTTTAGTGCATTCGAGTTATCTTTCTTGGAACACTGAATCAAAATGCAAACACGGAAACATATGACGGCTACTTCTGGCAGATGAAATTCGTTGAAAAATGTTTGTTCTTATTTTTTTTTTAAATACAGTTTTAATTATGTTGCTTAGTTTCTTGTTTCCATCTTGAGATACACTTGTCTGTGACAGCCATCAATTATTTCAACAGTTTTCTACCGATATGAGTACGAAATTGCGACTGCTTCTTAGGTGCGCGGAACCCATAACACGAGAATACATTTGGTAGTCCGCTAAAACTGACCATAATCGCAGACTTAAAAAATATGATCGGTCGCCTGTTCGTAAGAGGCGACCGATCAGAAATTTTGAGCCTGCGATTATGGTCAGTTTTAGCAGACTAACATTCTGGTACCCTCCTCACATGACGGCGAACTGAAGTAGCTCAGACTGGTGTACCCATGACAATCGTGGAACGCAATATTTCTGCTATAGTTTGCAAACATTTCGAATAGCTTTTTACGAAATGTTTTCAAATACAGAAAAGTCGATGCGTACTATACAATGTAGCTTACTTTGTGTAAAAGGCGATAACAGTTGACTGCGTACGTACATACGGAAAACAGGAAGTCATCTACTCCAATCTAATTTTAAAATAAATCGGCATGTTTTGTTCCGGATAAGATTGTTTAATCTTTCACTAGTTTAATTTCAGATTTTGTTTTTTTAAATATTGACACTGTGTTGTTGTTATTTTATAAATTCTTTAAACTAAAACAGTGATATTGACTAGGGTACCATCACATATTGCTTAATAAATTTCAAATAGCTCACCAATGCAAAGTATACTAAAAACGAAACTAAAAAAGAGTTATCTTTCTTCTTTCTTTTCTCGGCTGTCATTTCCTTCCCCGATTGAATCATAACCGGTAGTGACAACACGGATTATTGGTGATATCGCATGTGTTATAAACATACTAAACACATATTTCACAAGATGGCTAAACCAAAACTGATTATTTTTGATCTTGGTGAGTTTAATATCAAAAGTTTGAAAGATTGAGGCATGACCTCGTCTGTCAACAGGTTAATACACCCATAGGCCCACTATCAGCTGATTATAGATGTATCGATAGATGAGGCTAGTATACGTACCTGTGATTGAAGTGGTAAATGCTCTGGATCTTGAAGTTCATTCCACACAGGTGTTTCTAATTCTAACTGTAAATCGAGAAATACATATTATAAAGCAGGTCCTTCTTCTTCCATTACAAGGATCAGAACCCAAAGGTTGGAGTGCAATTGACCCTAGTAGGTGGCATTTCAAAGAATATTTTTTTTGTAATTTTTAGGCATAATATTAAAACTATGCATGTACATAACGAGGATGTAAAATTAGTAAAGAGACGGGTGGTAACCTTCAAGTGAGGATTTGAAAGAAGGTAATTCCTCACAAAGGGCCAGTGACATTGGTAAGAAGTTCCAGGTTATAATAGTTCTTGGGAAGAAAGAGAATTTGTAGGCGTCTTTTGTGGTAGATATTGTGTTTATTTTAGGTGCCCCCTTGTTCGTCTGTCACCTGATGTCCAGTATGATGATGGGTTAATTTTAACGATGTTATGCAATATCTTGTATAGCATTGACAATCTAGCTTTAGCCCTTCTTTGTGATAAAGATTCCCAATCTAATGATTTCATCATGTTTGTAATACAACCTGGATCTCTAGACCTGTACTCATTACAAGTGTATATCGCTGCTCTATGTTGTACATTGTCTAATTGTTGTATGTGGTTGATGGAATAGGGGTCCCAACAAGTTGAGGCATATTCTAAAACTGGTCTTACAAGAATAGTGTATGCCTGTGATTTAACTTTCCTAATACATGAAGATGTATTTCGACATAGGAAGCCCAAGGTCTTATTGGCCTTGTTGGTCACTGATTGAATGTGTTTGCCCCAAGTTAGGTCTGAACTGAGAGTGACACCAAGATATTTGTTAGTATCTACATTGTCTAAAATCTGATTATGAAGGGTATAATTATAATTAATGGTGTTCCTTCCTTTCGATACGTTAATAATAGAACATTTTTCTTCCCATTTTTCTAAAGACTTAAGGTCATTGTTCAACTTAGCACAGTCTTCAATAGAGTGTATTTGTGTATATAATAAACAGTCATCAGCATATAGTTTTATAGGTGTAGAAGTGTTATAAATTCACCTGACCTAATTGTTCTTTTGGACTTGTAAAAATTGTAATCAAAATATCATTTGATTGATAGGTTATGAAAAAAACAAGAGGCCAAAGGGCCTTAGCGGTCACCTGAGTTATATTATAGGTACTGGTAGCTCACTTTCATTGTTGAGATGTGATGTGGCAATCAACATGTAAACAAAGTGAAATACATTACTTGTCATGACACCGAAGGATAAGAACTTTAAAATCTATTCAAATAAATTATTTTACTATTGAGACATTGCTTTATAAACCAAGGAGAACAGATGACCAAAGGGTAATAAAACTATAACAATTTATATAATGCAACTAAGGGCATTTCCATCCATAAAAGAAACTTAAACTTGTACATTTGAGTGCAGAGATTTTTTTAAATATTAGCCATTTTCCCCTTTTTGGCCCCACCCCTCCAGCCCCTGGGGCAAGGACGGATCTTATTTTTTCATACCGTCTAGATGTAACTCATCACAATCATTCCAACTAAGTTTGAATGATTTCTTGTAATGCACCTAAGGACCTTTCTATCTATGAAGAGTATTTGTTTGTAGTACATCTGAGTCTGATGAAGAAGATTTTTTTGAACTTTTAACCATTTTCCCCATTTGGGCTCCACCCCTCCCAGCCCCTGGGGATGAGGCAGGATCTTATTTTCTCATACCATCTAATTGTCATCTGGCATCATAATCATTCCAACAAAGTTTGAATAACTTCCTGCTGAAAATGGACAAAATATACCAAAAAGTGGTATTTCCCTATTTAAACTAAATTCAACTTAACCCCTTCCATAAACAAGAATGGATGGCCCAGGGGTAATGAAATTGGAAAATAGATAAAGCTACTGATGGAATGTTCATCCATGCACAGAACTTCATTGCAGTACATCTGGAATCTGAAGAATAAGATTTTTGAAATATTGATTAATTTTCCCTTGGAGGCCCCACCCTAGCCCCTGGGGATAGGGAAGGAATGCCAATTTTACATTGTAATACCCTCTTCCACGAAAGATGATTGTGACCAAGTTTGCATAATTTCCTATTGAAAATTGACAAAATATACCCAAAAGTGTTATTTCCCTATATAAACTTTAGTAAACTTTACCCCCTCCCCAAGGAAGAACAGATGGCCCAGGGGTACTGAATTTTACAATTTACAAAGCCTGTGATGATCTTTCAGTCCATGCAGAGAAATTGACTGTTGTACCTCTGAGTCTGGAGAAGAAGAGTTTTGAAATATTGATCAATTTTCCCGGGCCCTGTCCTGGCCCCTGGAGTTGGGGTAGGAATCCCAATTTTACAATTTTGTAGCCTCATCTACCAAGGAAGAAGTCGAAAATGTAAAAAGTTTACGCGCAACGGATGACGCATGACGGACAGTGAATGACGGAAAGCGATCAGAATAGGTCACTTGAGCAAAGCTCAGGTGACCAAAAAATCGTTTAAAAAATACTCCTTAAAATTGCAAATGAATAATAAACATTTCCGAAAATGTCACAATATTTCCATTGAAACAGGAATAGGGAGTTGTTATGTAACCTACAGTCAAATTTTTTTTTTTCAATGTTTGGGACGATTAACATATCTGTTGTAGGAGTTAGCATGTAATATTTTCAGCTAGATCAAGCAAATATAGTGTCTAACCTTTGACTCTGCTAGTATCACTGAATAAGCGATACTGATGGTTCATGACAGTCACAGTTGATGATTTCTGGACACAGGCCTTAATACTGACTGTATCAAAATATTTTGTTTTGTCTGCTTTGAGCTCTGTATGTGATGTCGCTCGTGCAGTGAGATATTTGAGTCAAAATCAGCTTGAAAATTATTTAAATACTTAAGTAACAGAAGCAGAAAATGCTGAAAACAACGTTATTTACAATCCAAGTCCGAGAATCCCCTTGTCAAAAGCATTCACCCAGTGCTTGAAACAAGGGTTGGTCCCAGGCACCAAATGAAGTTGGAGTATTCTTTTGACTTTTTTTTCAGATGTATTTTATAAAGCTTGCTTATACAATATATTGTATGTTGTGTTTCAGATTACACACTGTGGCCGTTCTGGGTGGACACTCATGTTGATCCTCCATTTAAAAAGAACAGGTAATCAAAGTCAGCATTATACTATTGTGTACATTGGAATGTGTGGACAGCCACTGACCACACTGACATTGCTGAACTATTGAGTGTAAACCAGGGTTAATTATATGGCATTGCTGGGAAAGCTACTTGCAATTTAGGCAGTACCATCCCATCTTAGTCATTGGCTGTTACACTACTCCCCTGCCGAGAAGTCTTGCCCCAAGAATCCCATAGCTCCTCCCTGTGTACCAATTTACCTTCCCTAACCACCAAGAACTGGCCTTTTATGATACCACAGGATCCCAACGCTTCCACAAACACTCCTAAGACTATGTGTATATCAAATAGAACAGGTCCTGTGACAAACTCCTTAGACTATGTGTATATCATAGAGAACAGGTCCTGTGACAAACTCCTTAGACTATGTGTATATCATAGAGAACAGGTCCTGTGACAAACTCCTTAGACTATGTGTATATCATAGAGAACAGGTCCTGTGACAAACTCCTTAGACTATGTGTATATCATAGAGAACAGGTCCTGTGACAAACTCCTTAGACTATGTGTATATCATAGAGAACAGGTCCTGTGACAAACTCCTTAGACTATGTGTATATCATAGAGAACAGGTCCTGTGACAAACTCCTTAGACTATGTGTATATCATAGAGAACAGGTCCTGTGACAAACTCCTTAGACTATGTGTATATCATAGAGAACAGGTCCTGTGACAAACTCCTTAGACTATGTGTATATCATAGAGAACAGGTCCTGTGACAAACTCCTTAGACTATGTGTATATCATAGAGAACAGGTCCTGTGACAAACTCCTTAGACTATGTGTATATCATAGAGAACAGGTCCTGTGACAAACTCCTTAGACTATGTGTATATCATAGAGAACAGGTCCTGTGACAAACTCCTTAGACTATGTGTATATCATAGAGAACAGGTCCTGTGACAAACTCCTTAGACTATGTGTATATCATAGAGAACAGGTCCTGTGACAAACTCCTTAGACTATGTGTATATCATAGAGAACAGGTCCTGTGACAAACTCCTTAGACTATGTGTATATCATAGAGAACAGGTCCTGTGACAAACTCCTTAGACTATGTGTATATCATAGAGAACAGGTCCTGTGACAAACTCCTTAGACTATGTGTATATCATAGAGAACAGGTCCTGTGACAAACTCCTTAGACTATGTGTATATCATAGAGAACAGGTCCTGTGACAAACTCCTTAGACTATGTGTATATCATAGAGAACAGGTCCTGTGACAAACTCCTTAGACTATGTGTATATCAAAGAGAACAGGTCCTGTGACAAACTCCTTAGACTATGTGTATATCATAGAGAACAGGTCCTGTGACAAACTCCTTAGACTATGTGTATATCAAATAGAACAGGTCCTGTGACAAACTCCTTAGACTATGTGTATATCATAGAGAACAGGTCCTGTGACAAACTCCTTAGACTATGTGTATATCAAAGAGAACAGGTCCTGTGACAAACTCCTTAGACTATGTGTATATCAAATAGAACAGGTCCTGTGACAAACTCCTTAGACTATGTGTATATCAAAGAGAACAGGTCCTGTGACAAACTCCTTAGACTATGTGTATATCAAATAGAACAGGTCCTGTGACAAACTCCTTAGACTATGTGTATATCAAATAGAACAGGTCCTGTGACAAACTCCTTAGACTATGTGTATATCAAATAGAACAGGTCCTGTGACAAACTCCTTAGACTATGTGTATATCAAATAGAACAGGTCCTGTGACAAACTCCTTAGACTATGTGTATATCAAATAGAACAGGTCCTGTGACAAACTCCTTAGACTATGTGTATATCAAATAGAACAGGTCCTGTGACAAACTCCTTAGACTATGTGTATATCAAATAGAACAGGTCCTGTGACAAACTCCTTAGACTATGTGTATATCAAATAGAACAGGTCCTGTGACAAACTCCTTAGACTATGTGTATATCAAATAGAACAGGTCCTGTGACAAACTCCTTAGACTATGTGTATATCAAATAGAACAGGTCCTGTGACAAACTCCTTAGACTATGTGTATATCAAATAGAACAGGTCCTGTGACAAACTCCTTAGACTATGTGTATATCAAATAGAACAGGTCCTGTGACAAACTCCTTAGACTATGTGTATATCAAATAGAACAGGTCCTGTGACAAACTCCTTAGACTATGTGTATATCAAATAGAACAGGTCCTGTGACAAACTCCTTAGACTATGTGTATATCAAATAGAACAGGTCCTGTGACAAACTCCTTAGACTATGTGTATATCAAATAGAACAGGTCCTGTGACAAACTCCTTAGACTATGTGTATATCAAATAGAACAGGTCCTGTGACAAACTCCTTAGACTATGTGTATATCAAATAGAACAGGTCCTGTGACAAACTCCTTAGACTATGTGTATATCAAATAGAACAGGTCCTGTGACAAACTCCTTAGACTATGTGTATATCATAGAGAACAGGGCCTGTGACAAACTCCTTAGACTGTGTGTATATCATAGAGAACAGGTCCTGTGACAAACTCCTTAGACTATGTGTATATCAAATAGAACAGGGCCTGTGACAAACTCCTTAGACTGTGTGTATATCAAATAGAACAGGTCCTGTGACAAACTCCTTAGACTATGTGTATATCATAGAGAACAGGTCCTGTGACAAACTCCTTAGACTGTGTGAAAATCATAGAGAACAGGTCATGTGACAAACTCCTTAGACTATGTGTATATCAAATAGAACAGGTCCTGATCTCTTTTTTGCAAACTTCTGAACATTGGGTTTTGTCACTGTAGCTTTTTTCATAATGATTTTTAGATCACCTGACCCGAGGCTCAAGTGACCTATTGAAATCTGTTTTTATCCGTCGGGTCAATCAGAAATCCAATATGGCAGCCGAACAGTTGACTCCAGACTTGGTACAAATGTTGTTTCCTTGTGAGGTTCTAGCAAAGTGGTCTTACTTGAGAATTTTTTATTTGAGAACTCCTCTACATATCTGTCTTCATTTTCCAGTGATGGTAAGGTTGAGGATTGCCGCGGAAAGCATGTCAAGCACTACAGAGACGTACCAGCAATTCTACAGAGACTACATGGGGAGGGGTACAAATTGGGCATAGCATCCAGGTAAACATACTTCAGTGTATTTGTCATTTGAGGAATGCATGGAATTTTCAGATTGATACTTTTTATACTTAACTTAGAGGTATGTGTTACTAGTTACTGCAATAACTCCTCAAAACGGACTTAAAGTCTTATGTCTCACTGTAAGAATCTTGGTAGATGTTGTAATAAGCCAGATAGGCTGTGACTGCTTCAGAGGATGTATCTGTTCTTATAATGACTATGACCTGCTTTCAAGGTCACAAGGGTAAGATGTGTTCAAATGTTCAAACAATTTTCTCTAAAGACTAATACGTACTAGTTTAATTATTCTTGTATTGGTTTGTACATTGCTGTGATAAAGACCTGCTAGGTATGTTCAATTGAATGATCTATGAAACAGTTCGAGCAAGGTATAATTATACATTTGTCAAAGTCGCATTCAAAATGTGTAACATTCGAAGACACATGTTATATGTTTCACCAGTGAAATATTTAAAGATAAACACTGCTGTTGTAGAACCAAAAAAGTCTGGTTTCATTGTTTGGCAGCATAAATCTTCATTCTGTAATGAAATCATGTCGTGAGTAGTTTTTTTCCCTGAAATATGTTAATATGAACTGGAACAGGTTTATAGGTTTCTTCTCTCCTATAACTGACATTGTGTTGACTCTTATTGAAATAAAAATGCCACAACTATTGGGGCTCTGTTTGACCCTGTACTGACCTAATGACTCTGTTTGACCCTGTCCTGACCGTGTGACTCTGTTTGAACCTGTACTGACCTTGTGACTCTGTTTGAACCTGTACTGACCTTGTGACTCTGTGTGACCCTGTACTGACCATGTGACTCTGTTTGAACCTGTAATGACCTTGTGACTCTGTTTGAACCTGTACTGATCTTGTGACTCTGTGTGACCCTGTACTGATCTGTAATTCTGTTTAATTTAACAGACCTTGTGTTAAATGTTTCATGATGAGGAGATCACATACTGTACTTAGCCACCTGTTTATCTTTGCATGATCTTGTGACCTTGTGATTATTTGACCTTTCACAAAAAGTATGTAACCTTTAACGAACCTCATGACCTTGACCTCTGACATTGAAAGGACATCATGACACTGTTTGACCATGTGACCCTGATACACATTGCATTTTCCTTGTGACCCTGATTAACACTGACTGTCCTTGTGACTCAGTTTTACCTTGTATTGACCTTATGACCCTATTTAGCCTTGTACTAACCTTGTTTCTACTATTTCAGGACCAGTACTGTTAATGAGGCAAACGACCTTGTGACCCTGTTTAACTGGGATCAGTACTTTCAGTATAGAGAAATTTACCCAGGATGCAAAATAGCTCACTTTAAAAGGTGATCAATAGTTTTGTTACTCCACAATAACGTTGCAAATGATCAATTTTCATTATGGTGAACATTATGGTTTTTGGTTTCTAGCTCCTGGAATGAATCTTGCTGGAAGCCAACATTACACAATGTTCAAATGAGTGACCTTTTCTTACTTTCTGTTTCAACTTAGCTCAATGCCATTTGTTAAAACGTCTAGAGTAGTGCTTTGTAGCTTGAACTTTGCAGAAGTAAATCACTACCAATTTTGTTAAAAAAAGTAACTTTGGTCCTTTTTTGAAGTTATTGGAGTCAAATGTAGTAAAACCTTCAAATGGTTCCTTCTACAAACCTTATTTTGCCAGCAGGTGGAGGCTACAAGGATCAAATGTTAAAATTTGATTTTTTCCCTTTAACTATCCAATGACTTTAAGTTATAGCGTACAGATATATAGCTTGAATGTATCAGTCTCTTCTGATAAATAACGGTGACCCACTGTCAAGGTGACAAGGGTCAATTGTATTCAAATATCTTCTTCTTAAAATCCATACACAGACAAAATTTCTTGATGTAAATTCAGGCAAGATTCAAGAATTGACCTGAATTTGATCTAAAATTCACCTCAAATTGACCTGAAGTTCTGGTCAATTTCAGGTCAGGATTTTTGTTCAGTCTCACCATCAAAGTACAGGGGATGAATTTGTTAAAATCTGTTGACAACATTTTCAAAGGTTCATCAGGTCTAAGTGATGTTTGTATCATAACTTGACGGAGTGAAGGTCTATCAGTTTTGTTCAAATACCTTACCTGTATGACACACTTTTAGATCAAGTACCGTATGCAAAAATCTTCAAACAACTTCCTCTAAATATCTGAAAGATATAGAAAAGTAGTATAATAGCTTTCAGAGCACTACAGTATTTAACACAGTGGAAAATAATTCAAACTTGGTTGGAATTATTACCATGGTATGAAAGTTTGATGCTATGAAAAATTAAGACCCTGACCCAAATTAAGGGTCAGAGGGGTAAGGCCCAAAATGATCAAATGGTAAAATTTCAAAAAATTTCTTCTTTAGACCCAGATTGCATTTAAAATTATATACTTATTTTATATGAACTATTTTGCTTTGTCATTTCACAACAACAAATATAGATTTTACTATAACTCAGGTGACCGTTTATATACATGGGCCTCATTAGTTATCAAGTTGACCAATTTGTGAGGCTCACTCACAGTACTTTGCAAAATACTTTGACAATGTTCGACAATGTTCTTATTTTTCAGATTTCAAGTTGACAGTGGTATAAATTTCAAAGAAATGCTGTTTTTTGATGACGAGTACAGGAACATAAAAGATGTTGGGTCTTTAGGTATGTGAAGCTGTGGATGTGAGAAAATTTAGATAGACAAATATAGTTAAGTCTCTGACCCAAACATTTGGTTCCTGATATCTGCAGAGACAAAGTTCCTGATCTTCAAATTTGAAGATCAAGACCTACTTTGATATTTTTTGATACGTTAAGAATTACCACTTTAAACGCCCCTTAACTGACAGGACAAATGTTCTGCTAAACAAAGAATCAAAATATCTGGTCATACATGTCCAGTGTTGTCAAAGCCTTGGACACTCAAACGCGATACCTCAGTAAAAACATGACCAATGTCTTTGCCATGAGGCTTTTAATATCTACACAGAAGTCTAGATTGGACGTAATTTTTTATAAGGAGTTTGACCTTCTTTTCCTGATTAAACTCTCTAAATCTGGAAAACAAACACACCTTTAAGGTTTTGGTCTGCATCAGGCTCTGGTTGTTCTAATCATGATCACCTAAACAATCACTTAAGGGTGTATGCTACCTTAATAGTCGCTTAAGGGTGTATATTACTTTAACAATCACTTAAAGGTGTATGCCACCTTAATAGTCGCTTAAGGGTGTATATTAATTTAACAATCACTTAAAGGTTTATGCTATATCTTAACAATCGCTTAAGGGGGTATGTTACCCTCATGGCTTTTATGAGTTGTATTTTAGACTGTTATTTAATCAATCACAGTTTCAAAATATACTGAATTCTAAGATTACTGTACTTCATGTAGTAGTACATGAATTGATAAAGCCTTGGTCTTTCAGGATTAATTAAGATAATATATTTGACCAAAGAAGATTCATGCCTCTTATAAGGGACACCTACATTTTGTTTTGTTACTGAGAGTGAAGTTTTTTTTTTCATAACTGTATAGATGTATAGATAGTATAGATGTATAGATAGTATAGATGTATAGATAGTACAGATGTATAGATAGTATAGATATATAGATAGTATAGATGTATAGATGTATAGATAGTATAGATGTATAGATAGTATAGATGTATAGATGTATAGATAGTATAGATATTATAGATAGTATAGTTGTATAGATAGTATAGATGTATAGATAGTATAGATGTATAGATAGTATAGATGTATAGATAGTATAGATGTATAAATAGTATAGATGTATAGATGTATAGATAGTATAGATGTATAGATAGTATAGATAGTATAGATAGTATAGTTGTATAGATAGTATAGTTGTATAGATAGTATAGATGTATAGATAGTATAGATGTATAGATAGTATAGATGTATAGTTGCATAGAGATTCAACCTTCTGATCTTAAAATACAAAAACTAATAATTGAGAAAACTTTCTGAGAAATTAAATTAAAAAGAAAACGTAATCTGTGTTACCGGGTTGTAACACATAATACTTTGCCTGACTGATATGCCAGTTAAACCGTTTACATGTCTTACACTAAAATGGACAAAAACTTTCCCCACAGACTGTCGACAGTGGGTTGTGATTTACCTGAATTTTAATACGATAATGACCATCCAATCATTGTTAGAACTCTCATTTGGAATCAAACGTCTATTAACAGTGTTTATACAGAAAATATTTAAAAAAAAATATCAAGGGTCATTCTTGATCCTAGCTCTTAGGCTAAGCTATCACCAGAGAGTGACTGGCCCTCACTGTTCCTTCCTGTTTTAAAATATGGATGTGATATACGGGTGAGGACCATTCATGTCCTAATGAAGGGATAAGCAGAAAGCTTGGAGTTAAACAGACCATTGATTTAATTTACTCATCAAGAAACTTTGATGTTAATATGCTTATTCTGATAGTAGCATGTATTGTATTCCAGATGTAGTCTGTGTATTGGCCGAGCATGGAATGAATGAGGAGACTTTGAAAGAAGGGCTGGAAGAATTCGCTTCCAAGAGAGGAAGTTAACAATGCCAGCACTGTTAAAGGAAATGATGAATCATGTGTTCTGTTTTAGTAGTACTTGATAAACAGGAGTCATTGACTTATATGACAGTGGAAATACTCTAGGTTTGTTATGAGAGTGAACAGCAAAGGTCATTGTCAGGTAAAATATAGTTTTGGCTTTGAGATTAATATACCATAATTCTAAAATAAAATGTTACGCTATTTCTGTAGTTATTTCCATTGTAAGGACATCAATAGTATAATCAATCTCGAAAATATGAATAACATTCCAAATAGTACACAATTCACATCAAATTCATTGTAATATGGGTGAGTCCTATTGAATATTTAAACAACTACTAAAAAATAGATTGGTCTAGAAGATATAAAATGTTTTTTTTTTAACATTGACCAAGATACATACAAAAAATACAACTATTTACAGGAAATTCTGTTTTTGTACCTGTCTGGGTTTAGCTCCCTTCATCAATATTGACTTAGATTTTAATTTCTCTCTCATTATGTTTGTTAAATCAGCACTATTTCTTGGAACAATTTAAACAATGAATATTTTTTTTTTTATGTTTCCTTACATGAAATGAAATCATGGTGAATAAGTTATTGGAAGAACAAGTGAGTTACATTGTACCTTTGATTTAAGTGAGTTTTTATCCTATGCAATAAAATTGGATAGAAATGTAAATTAATTTTTGTAACAAATGCTTTGAATATATTGTTAACTTGACGAGTCGGTGACACAATAGCAAGATCAACATTTTTTTTTTTTCTTTTTATGAGATTTGATTGGATGTCTATAATGGTATGGCTTCTAGGCTCTGTCCATCCTCTGGGCATAATTAAGCTGCTTCAATAACTTTTTAAATATTATACAAATATTTGTGCCTGAATGCTGTTTGGATTCATATGTACTGTGAAATTGTCTAATCAAACCTCTGTATAATCTAACTTGTGAAAATTATCAAAAAAAATATGTTTGTTCTGACATCGTGACTAATCTGACCAATATGTTGTGTCCCACAGTATGTCAAGATAGACAGGTTAATCAAACCAATATGTTATGCCACACAGGGTGTCAGATTAGACAGGTAAATCAAACCAGTATGTTGTGTCCCACAGTATGTCAAGGTAGACAGGTTAATCTGACCAATATGTTGTGCCACACAGGGTGTCAGATTAGACAGGTAAATCGAACCAATATGTTGTGTCCCACAGTATGTCAAGGTAGACAGGTTAATCAAACCAAAATGTTGTGCCACACAGGATGTCAGATTAGACAGGTAAATCGAACCAGTATGTTGTGTCCCACAAGGTGTCAGATTAGACAGGTTAATCTGACCAATATGTTGTGCCCCCATAGGATGTCAGATTAGTCCGATTAATATCACCAAGTTAATGTTTCCCACTTGGTGTCAGATAGGACAGTGCATTATATAACCAATATATTGTGTACCAAATGATGTCAGATTAGACAGATTTTAGTGTTCTTGTAACAGTTCATTTCACTCACTGGAACATTGTTATCAGACTGACAGGTCAAATGTATCACAACATACTGTACTATGGGAATTACTCCATCACAACATACTGTACTATGGGAATTACTCCATCACAACATAATGTACTATGGGAATTACTCCCCATTGTTTCAGTATTAAGTTATTTTCATACATAAGATTTTTTTACCATAAAATGTCTATATATAAATTTGCCTCACTTCCTTCTCCCCTCACAATCTGATTACATTTACAAATCCTGATACCCCTTAATTTTTTTTTTCAAATTACTTTTATTTCACCATTATATTGGTATTGTGGGTGTATAATGCTATACTATGACAGACAGACAGACAGACAGACTTTCTTTGTTTCCTCCTTGTAGAGATGTACATGGATCATGCCTTATCTTGTGCTTACATCAAATGTAGAATATACCTTGTATAAGTTTTAAGATACTGGAACCATCAAATCTGTAGAACAACCTGTAAATGTGTATAAAGCTATCAACACTTGTAGAGGATATCAACTCCATCCTGATGTATACGTCAGAAACCTAAAATGTGATACATTGTAGATTTTTATATGATTCAGAGATATTTTTTCAGTTATTAATGAAAAAAATTTGAGGTGACTATTTTTTACATAAAGCATCAGTCGACATGTCATTTAAAGAGTGGATTATGTTAGGTCAAAGGTCACCTGGAGGTGGTGTTATAGGTGAACATGTGATTTTATGTCGGAGATTATGTGTGTATCTAGATATCTAGTAGGATATCTGACAAGAGACAGGATATTATGATGCATGGATATATAGTCTTTCTAGTCACAAACAAAAATGTTTTTTTCTTCGGATGTCCTGACAGAGTCCCTTTTTCATTAACTATTTTATTATCTTGACTTGCAGTTTTGAGGGAAATTGCTTTTTTTTATATGAAGTGTCTTTTAACCCTTTCACCCCTATGTAACTTTAGTAGACTCTACCATGCATTGATCTGGACTAGTCCATCATGGTCTACAGTAGTGAAAGGGTTAAGTACCAGTTACATGTTTGTGTTTATTTGTGAGAAGTGTCTTAAATTGAAAGAAATCCAGAAACAAGGTTAGGTAGACTTTGTTATGAGACCCTATTTACTGTTGTTTAGACGGCAGGAGATCTAGAGCAATACTGTATGCTACGTCAATGTTGTATATTAGTATCAAAATATCTTACAATTGTAGCATTATTTGTCAATAGTTTCATTTATACATAAGGATACATGTGACACTTTCTGTCTCTTAAGTAACTAGTTTAACATCCTGTATGCATGATTCAGACAAATGGTATATTATTTTAGATCAGACAAATTTGTGTTATGATAGAGTGGTTGTTTAATGGAAGATCACTCGGAATAATATGCGAGATATGATACATCCTGAAATTTTATCCAGTTTCATTACCTAGCTTTTATTGTAATAAAATATTATTCAACTTTGGTCATTTCACCCTGATAGAGTTTTAGGCTATATTGCATCTTACTCCCCACCAATACCTTTAACACATCGGTAATTTGTTGTACAAAATTATTTTGATGAAAAAATAGTGATTATTAACAATGATTTACAGATTTATGTGTAGCAGATATTTTTTTGGGGGAATTGGTTGGTTTATACCATAACAACAGGTAAAACTCACTAATTTTATTGAAAGGAATTGCAACGTGTTCAGTTAGTAGCCCTTAACCATCCTAACACTTTTACAAGAATATACTTAAATGAATTTATTTTACATGTTGTAATATAACAAATTTTAACTTAATTTGTCTGTACAGTCTATGCTATTTGCTTTATATATCTTTGCTTTGTTTTCGTAAAGGTTGAATGTTGGCTATCAGTATTTTAGATGATTTAAAATGTGATCTTATAAGATTTTAATTTCATTTCTTGTGATTTTCGCTGCAACATAAACAAAAAGTATGTTGAAAAATGAAAACTGTTGTTCTGGAGGTATTCGGCTAATAAAATAAATATTTATAGAAACGGTGTTTTATTTTTGTATCTCCCCTGCTGACCGGTCTGGTAGATCTAGTGGTACCGAGTTCTGTCTGCCCCAGGTTTTTAAAATATACTCCTACCAGTTCTCACAGATTTCACCTACATTTGGTACACAGAATCAGTGAGACATGATGATGTACACCTCCCTCTGTTATGCATTTTTCTCTCCTTTTCAGGGAGTTACGCCCCTTTGCTTTTGTGAAAATAATTCCTTCCACAGTATTATCCAGATTCACTTCAATCCCAGTGCAAACTGTATTGGTATGACCCAACGATGTGAATGTGCATTTTTATGCTCTTTTCCCTCCTTTTCATGGACTAACACCACTTTTAGTATTTTATTGAGAAAAACTTGTGAAATCGACTCTTTGCACTGTTATATTCATTTCAAATTTGGTGCACAGTATCATTATGACATGAGGAGTTTCTGCCTTTTCCATGCGGTTAAGTCTCCTTTTCAGAGAACATATTTATATATGAAGATAGGCGATGAGAACATATCTGCATGGAAGATAGGCGAAGGTGTACAAGAGCGGCATACGACCTCTAACAATGGGCCCTGCCACGTTCAAAACAAAAAAGTAACGATTTTAAAATGAAGTTCGAAAATGTGCCAAATGGGCACCTTTAGCCTGTAATATCGATGATGCCTTTCTGCGTGTGAATAACTTAGGCTATGACATTTTGTAATATTTGTGTTTAAAAGCGGCACACGAGTGATAATTGCGATTGAGTTATTCGAATATCAAACTAGCCAAATAGTGAGATAGCCCAATATTGAAAAAGTAACCAACTTCACGCTGGTAAATTCGCTGGCAGTTTATACATTCATAGTTCACAGAAGTTTTCATTACGTTTTTCTTAATAACTTTGTTTCGTCTGTATATTATGTCTGTGATGTTAGATCATCACAGACTCTGTGTTATTATAGAAACAATGATTAAATGACAAAACTAGATTAGCGCCTCTGTGGTAGAACATCTCGGCTACGTCACATTGATGGAAGGTTCAATTTTAGTTGACCTTTAATTTCAGTCTGGAATGATAATTTCTGATAATCGATAGTTTAGAGTATTCATTTTGATCCTGATAAATCATACGATAACGATTTCTTATTATTTTACTGTTAATAGACAGCTGACATACCACCCCAGCAGATCGGGGATAGATAACAGAATATATCTGCTGTTAACCATTGCATGATGTTGTAATTATAAGAGCCACCAGTTTCACTTTTATGCCCCCTACTTGGGGACACCGACGCAACAAAAGTGAAGCTGCTGTACCCATTGCAACATTTGGAAGCTTTCCATTTTCTCTCTACTTCATATACACCTTTTTGATTCCTAGCACCACTCGTTTGCAAATAACCTCACTTTTAGCCTTCGTGAAGAACGTTCGCCCAAGTTTTCTGACCCCAGGCCTCCTTTGACAAACCAAAGTCTTTTAAAGTGGTAGTTGTTATTTCCTGCTTAGCCTTCAGCACTACTCGTTGTCAGTATCATGTGACCGAGTGGTATATTGTGTTGGGAGCCTGTTGCGTGGTATTTCGGTGAGGTAGCACTCTAAAGTCGGCATCAGGTCAACGCCATCGCATGGTTTGGTTTGGTTTTATTTTGTTTAACGTCCTATTAACATCTCAGGTCATTTAAGGACGTGCCTCCATGTGTGTGGCGTAAGCGTTTAAGTGTGTATGTGTGCTTCCTTATGATAGCGCGGATGGGATGCCGACTTTAAAGTGCTATCTCACTGAAACACCATGCCGAAGTCATTCAGGACAGCATTCCGGCCGGTCACGTTATACTGACAACGGGTGAACCAGCTGTCATACCCCTCAATGCTGAAAGTTTTGCAGGGAATAACAACTACCATTTTAAAGGGCTTTGGTATGACCCGTCCTGGGGAGATAACCCATTGCCTTCCTCACCTGGGCGAACGCTCAACATTAAATCCAGAAGTGAGGTATGGCCAAGCTAGGCACTAGGAAATAGAGGTTAGTTAGAATTAAAAAGAAAGACAAACATCCCAAATGTTCCAAAGGTTGCAGCAGATTTATTTTGGTCGCTTTCCCCCCCTAAGTAAAGGGTGCAAATCCAAATCTCCAACTCTGCAGGATCCCAATCAGTCGCCTCTTACAATACATGCAGTGCGTAAACAGCAGGTGCATTCTTTTCTCGATCCCCGACCTGCAGGGGTGGTTATCGCATGGAGTCGATACTACATCGAAGTACCGCATTCAGTAGACATGCACGCATGCATTGCACCCATAGAAGCACGTCCTTAAATGACCTTCGCTATTAATAGGACGTTAAACCAAATAAAAGCAAACCGACTCACATACTTTCTATAAATGTCAACACATACTTTCTGTTCGATCGTTTTATTTTATTAACAAATAATACAATTCACATTAAAATTAACAATCTTAACAAACAACAAACGTTATGGATGATAAACTTATAACTTAATACAATTAACAATATATGATTAAATGCAGTATGTTAGACGCTATGATCTGTACTGGAATACTGAGTTATCTAATACAAGACTAGTAGTTTTCTCCGTTCACAAATGATAACCGTTGAGAAGCAATTATTGGCACATAAACAAGACGAATATAACTAACTAAAAGGTCATTATCAGATCCATTATATATAACCGTGTTGTTACATGCTTAACAATCGGATGAAAACTGAAAAGGTGCAAGCGGACATGTACCATGATTGTATGAATGCTCGTATTTGCCCAGACATCTAAAGCAAAAACGGAAGCCACACGATTGGTACTGACAGGTCATTGACAAACATCCGCCCATATGTTCAATTATACTCCAACACTTAGGACATGCCCGGAGCTTTAGGATTTCCATATATGTTTTTGGTGAATCATGGAGAAGGGAGATGATGACGTCGTCAGGGTACACGTTTGTCGATTCTATTTCTTGTTGCTTGAGAGTGTTTATGTGGAGCTTAGTTTGAAATAAACTCTTTTCTTCTACTGACAGAACAGCAGAAAGTGTGATAGTGCGTTCATTCCACTCGCAGCCACATTGGTCTCCCTTGATGTTTGTGATATATGGACACGTGATTGCAGAATTCCCTTTCTCTAGCTCGTACCAACAGTAGTCATACAGGGCCTGAGGGGCTACAATTAAAAAATTGCGACTGTCAAAAAATAACGATTTCGAAACATTTCTTTGAATTAAAAAATAAAAAATAGCATAATTTTTCGTTAAATGATTTGTTTTTGTAAGATATAGGTAACCATACAGAATATGGGCTAATAGTTGTTTACAAATGACCAAAATAAGGTTATCGTAATATCATATTTACAGAACTTTCAACTATGGTTGGTAAAAACGAGTTGTTATACTAACTGATAGCGTGTCCACATGGCATTTCGGCCCTTTTCTCCACTGCGTCCAGCGTTATCATGCACGGTTGAGTGGACCTTTTCACACCATTCCATAGCCTCCTCATCCGAACCAGTGTGTAGACTGCTTCAATAACGTCGTCGTCAGTGAAAACCTTACTTATCAAGCATTCTTTGGCAACGTCCACCGTTCGGCCGAGCCGTTTTATAACTGTCCCTGGGGGAAGTCGTTTAAACAAGGCCGACATCGTATTTTTCTTTCTCTGTAAAACAAAACACATTAAGAAATTTAGAAGTTTTTCAAAAGAGGTTGAAGAGGCTAATACAACGTTTTGTTAGTATTTTGAACATATTACAGGTAAAACAGTATTCATATGAAAGTTATCGATTTAACGCGTATAGAAATGTATATATCTCACTTTTACAAAGAAAATTGCATATCGTTTAAAGGGAGGTAACCACTATTTGTCCAACTGTATTCTGATATTGAATCGGCTTTTTGTATATCTTGTGAGAAAAGGCAACATCAACGTACACTGTTATATGATTTTATGTAGTTATTAACTGCTCTTTAAATAAGGTTTTACTGGCTATATTTATCCCAGGTTTGTTATAATGAAGACATCAATTACAAAGCTTTATTTTGATAGACCTATTATTAATACTAACTATTTAAGATATTGTGTTTAGCCCATTTTGAAGGGATTAATTAAATGTTTTTGATTGTTTGTTTCTCCAGGGCTGGTATTCGTGAAACTGTTTTGTTTTCATGCTCAAATTCAGATGCTGCGCTATAGCTCTATTTCTTGTTCCAAGGAAGAAATAATGAAATTCTAATTTTATCAATAATTTGGAAGAATTTTGAAGAAAGTTAAAGCCGAATACTATTTTCAGCATTTGACAATGTCACATGACTTAAGCAAGTTACAGAAGGATGGTTTAAAACATAGACTCCATGCTTGAGCGTGAAAGCGGTATCATAAATACGGGCCCTGATATTCTTTACTCCAAATAACTGATAAATTGCAAGGGACAGTTAAATGATCGAAAATATTATTTATGTATTAAGTTTTTGCAGACATCTTTTCAACATATATGGAATATATAAATTTGATATCATTCCACTGCTGCTGTAAAATTATTGATGAATTGAAACATAGTTTACAAAATATTTTCAATTAATAATTAAACTATCAAGATGTCGACTTTTTCTAGCAAACATAAAGAAATTATTGAAGGTTGGATATTTTTCCAGTTGAAATAAGAATGGACATTCATCTTTTATCGAATTGACAACGACACACTTTTGATTGATTAACAACGTCTATATAAAACATTAATTCACATTATTTCTGCTATTTCAGCGATAATGCACATTTATTTCGTATGATATAGACTTAATTCAAACATTTTGTCAATGAACAATACACAAGTTATGGCTATCATGAGCAACACAATAGACAAAACCAAATATATATTACCTCACTTAGTCGAATGTGACTTTCCTCAGAATCAGGGTGAACGATAGTTATTTTCATGTTGATGCTGTCGTCTACAGCTGTTCGTTACTGTAGCGTTACGTATTGTGTGGATAAAGGCATCACCAGCCATGTTTTATATATAAACTGAAGCAGCAGTCAGATCTATATTTAGATCGCTGCTACGTCAGCTAGTCAGGTCTGAACAAGTCTGAGCAGAGCCTAACCTGATGATTCAGTCGTTATCAATTCAAGATACAAGTAAACGAAAACAAGAAAAAAAAAGTATAAACATGTTTCAAACAAATTGTTTAAGTCAACCTGTTGACATTGACATTATCTTAATGAATTTCCATTAAGTACATGCATATTGTACATACAGCATTCATAATATCAGTCATATTTTGATACATTACACAGACGTGTTTAGTATTTTAGTGTATAACTTAATCAAGATAAGCCAACAAAGATACAGCGGCTGCCCGACTCGGCTACCGATATCTCAGTTGCACCAGGTTACTATAGGCTGTACTAGCTAGCTGTGTGTGACGAGACAGTAAAACTTTTACCATTACCTACATTATATATACTAATACATCAGTTCAGTTCTTAACTTATGGCAGTTACATATAAGGGGACAAAGACACCCACACTTACTCGCACACATCATCAGGGATGATATTTTCACATTTGTACTGTTTTATCACATGAAAATTTACACTTTTCAGTTAAGGAATTGAACTTGAAATATATTATTTAAGAGTTGATGTTGTATTTTTGTATTGATGTGGTCTGTGATTTTCAATGGTTTAATATGTTCAACTCTTGTCTATTATATGTCTCCAAAATGGAATGTTTTTGCAGCTTTTTCCCCAGTAAATCACGAAAAATACTATATAATCAAAAATATTGCATTACCAATCAGATTTTAAAATGTTATTTCACTACACATGGGAAACCTCATATTTCATATTTCTGTAAGCTTACGTAAACTTGGGTCGGTCCTTTGACTCACTCCTGCAGAACTATTGACTTGTAATATGTAAAATTAGAATTAGAATTTCACACTGTAAGTATCATTTTAGCGTGTTATTAACGGACATTGGCAGAAACAGGAGCCCGATGCCATCCCCCAATGAATCAGTTGCTTGTGGAAGGGGAAAAGAGGAGGTTGGAGGGAGGGTGTTGGGTAGCAATTGCCATGCCTGCCCTGTGTCCCCAGGTGTCAAACCTAGTTATTAGTCAGAACTTACTTGGGTTTTGTTTTGCAAGACCATTCCTTGATCTAGTGACAATGTCGGGGTGTGCCGACCAACACGGAGACTTATTAATTTATCTAAATGTTACAATGTGAGAGTCATTCTTTAATTTGATGAGGAGTGGAAATTAAAATAGCATGTTAAGATTTTACACCTTTATGGATCAGACCAGGTACAGACGAAACGTTGTAATAATAATTAATTCACATGCAACGAATGAATAATTATTTAAGATATAACAAAATGCCTAACCTAAGGTACAGACTCCTGGTTAATTTGATTGATACAGATTACGAAGACCATCGTTATTATAAACCTATCCCCTATCCCCTCCCACACACGCAAATTTATCAATCTCACTCTGTCCGGGTCTCGAAGTCACGACCTACGGCATCTAATTGCCTAGACTAGAACTCTCCACAGCTCCTCAGTCGTAGTGTTAGAAGCTGCAGATATTTATAGGCTAGACAGGGTACTATTCATAAAATAGTCCTCCTTCGTCATTTGTGTTTCTGTCGTGATTTTTACACGTGTTTGTCATGCTGTCACTTTGACTGAACAGTTGAAAATCGTCACTAAAATTTAATTATCTCCAAATGTGTTCTTTAAACAAACAAAAATGACGACAATGTAATATCCTCAACGTTGTTTGGCGCTTCTACGGGAGTCGTTGTGTAGCCGGCTTTTAATATAATATTACTATGCTTTTGCTCCTGAATATATTACGTTATTCTTTCTCACTCTGGGCAATTTAGAAATTCTGACTGTGAATCAACACATGTAAACTTTCTGTCAGAATAGGTTTCTGTATCAACAAAATAATAATAATCGATATTAACATCAGGGTTTGCCTTTGGCAAAGAATTTAATAGCACATGTATATGACGAGTAGACGAGATTTAGTCATTTCCAAATACAGCATGATTTGATTTTACCTCATCAATTGGCTGATAATTGTAAAGGTGCCATCTGACACATGATTGTACTCTGGCAGTAAAAAGTCAAAAAGACATCTAAAGCAGAAACGGAAGCCACAAGAAGGGTACTGACAAGTCATTGACAAACATCAGTCCGCATGTTTAATCTTCAACATTTAGGACATGCCCGGTGCGTAAGAAATATCCCAGTTCTAAATAGTGTGTTTGGTGAGTTATGAAGAAGGGAGATCATGGCGTCGTCGAGTACACATTTATCGATTCTATTTCTCGCTTCTTAATTGATTCTGTTTATGTGGTGTTTAGTCTGAAATAACCTCTTTTCTCTATAGGTCATAACTGCGGAAAGCGAGATAATGCGTGTCCTCCATTCACAACCACACAAGCATAATACTCATGTCATGTTGACAATACGTTAGAACACCATTATATAAACAATGAAAACAAGACCGGCCTTGGATTTCATATTTGCTAGTCAAGGTATTTTGTTATCTAATAAATCACACAATCATGATTATATAACACTCTGTCAAAACATTTCAGTTTATTATCAAAATAATAATGGTACATTATAACATTTATGCATATATGGACAACACTTAACAACACAGAAGCATGTTCAAATGTATAACGCAACACAGTGTACTACAATGGCATGAAACAGACAATATGGTCTGTGAGAGACACTTGTTTACCAACGTTTGACTGTTATATACATCGTGGGCAAGTATCAGTCGGTATCAAGTAATGTGATAAATTTAGTTCACCGAATGTGAAATGGTTTGAACCAAATCTCCTTTTTCAATCGGATGCAAATTGTAAAGGTGCTTGCAGGCACTTACAATGATCTATCCCTGGTCCGTATTCATCTAGACATCTAAAGCAGAAACGGAAGCCACAAGAAGGGTACTGACATGTCATTGACAAACATCCGTCCGCATGTTCAATTATACTCCAACACTTAGGACATGCCCGGTGTTTTAAAGCGTTCGTACGTCCATATCCTAATAGTTTTGGCGAATTATGGAGAAGCGAAATCATGATGTCATCAGGGTACACATTTTTCGATTCCGTTTCTTGCTGCTTGATTCGATTTTTGTCGAGCTTAGTTTGAAATAACATCTTTTCTGTTTTGGACATAGCAGCAGAAAGTGTGATAGCTTGTCTTTTCCACATGTATCCGCAGGTTTCTCCCTTAATGTTTGTGATATAAGGACACGTGATTTTGGAACTTCCTTTCTCCAGCTCACACCAGCAATAGTCATACAGGGCCTGAGGTGCTGCAATATAACAAATATTGCAACAATTAAAATATGTTTCAGCACATCTAACATTTAAATGACGTAAAACTTTGTTTTTGCTGATGAAGGATACATGCTTTTAACTGCCAACACAAATCAATTATCCATATTTAAACAACTCACCAACATAAGTGAACAACTGCAGTTAGTGTAAAATGATAGTTTTTTTGGGCGGGGGTTTAATACTTACTGATAGCATGTCCGCACGGCATTTCTGCCCTTTGCACATCTGTGTCCAGTGTTATCATGCACTGGTCAGCTGACTTTTTCATGCACCTCCATAGCTTCCTTGTTTCGACCAGCTGTGTGTAGAATGCTTCAGCAACGTCGCCGTGAGTGAAAACCTTACTTATCAAGCATTCTCTGTCGGCGTCGACCGTTCGTCCAAGCCGTTTTATAACTGTCCCTTGTGGAAATTGCTTAAATAAGGCCGACAACTTGGTCTTCTGTCTCTATAAAAACACAAAATATAAACAGATAAGGATATATGTTGAAAAGATACCACCTTTTGTCAGTATTTTTATGGTAACATCCTAAAGATTCATTGTTGTGGACCTCAATGAACATTTCTATGATTCAAATTATAAACCGCACATATTTACTGCATAATTGGGGTGTGTAAACAAAGATATTATTTTCTTTCGGGCATAATTTGAAAAGTTGAATTGACTAGTTGCTATCCTTTTCAGATATTTAACGGTATTCTTTCTGAACATATTAAATGAGTTAATCGGAAAAAAGTATTGAATTATTGCAGCATGATTGCATATTGTTTGACAACCGACAGTTATCAAACTAGCTGTAGATATTGTTAACACCAAATTTGAATAACGAAACCAGGTATATTTACCTCACTAAATCGAATATGACTGCGCTTTAAATCAGGGTGGATGACAGTTATTTTCATGCTTATGACTTTCTCTCTCCTTTACCGTACGTGTTGTGTGAATACGTGAGCGGTGGACAGCTTTTATACAGCTAAATGTTTCAGTCAGACCTATATTTAGATTGTCGCTTCGTCAACATTTTTTAGCTTACTGGTCCGAACAGGTAGGTCTGTGTATAACCTAGCAATTCAGTCGTTATCAATACGAGTAGACGGATAGTAGGCGGTGTTTGAATGGAGGAATGCAATTATATATGTTCTGATTATAGTTACAGTCTTATAAGTAACTTCCTGTAATATTCCATTCAGTTTTAATATTACATTGCCAAGTATACGAAAAGAAGATTTTGTTTGGAAAATTCATAATGACATCTCATTAAGGGGATTTAAGTACATCTAGTGAGTTGTAGTAAATTAAATGAGTGCAGTACGTACAGTAAATGATCCACAGTGGAACATATAAATTATGATAAATTATGATAAATTATGTAATTAAAATCCACTGCGCCATCCGACCCCCCGATTTGTGTTTTGGTTTTGTTGATATTACCCAGGTTTGACTTTGTAGACGCGCCATTACTGATTTCACCTATATTTACATTGCGGTCAGCACTGATATAGCAGAACATATCTAACACTCCAGAACACCTGTTCGTATTCACCTTGAAGGTTTTTTCAGGGTATCCATTTGAAAATGTCTTTAATTCATGATGAAAACTAGGCGTAAACTTTGTTTTAACACATCACACTACATATTGATTCGGGTTCAGATTTGTTGTGAATTGGTTTTATGACAGAATGAAAGAGACAAACGTATTTATCTAAAATTTTATTTTACAAAAAACTTAAAAAAGATAACTAAGGCCCATTTCAAATTATGGGCACATATGTTTGACCCTCATCACAACCATCCATTAGATGGACTGAGGTCACAATTTAATGCTTCCGAGTTCAGTACCCACGAATGAAGTCCCTTAGAAATATAGGTACTTTAGTAAAAAGACACCCTCAGTATTTCTTCCGAAATTCTGGTACTTTGGCAAGGAAACATTCAGCGTTCGGTGACATCCCTCATTGTTTTGGGTAGATGTGTTGAGTCGCATTGATTGGACTGTCTCGGTGCTGAGTTTCATCTTCAGTAGTTCCAGCACTAACATCTCATCATCTTATGTCATCTGTAGGCCGTGAACTTTGTTGGCACTCAGGAACATTGAGCGTGTCCACCAATTGTTACTGTCACCCCCAGAGCACACGACAGAATGTTGTTTGCATTTGGAGCAGTCACCGGAGTAGCATGAAACAGTCGCATCAAGCACAGCTGATACACGTTTTGATATAATGTCCATGTTTCCATTGTGTAGTTTCATCAGGTCCTTGAAGATCAGACTGCTCCGGGCTTTCAGGTCCTGAGAAAATATTTTCTGGGAATGTGCTCTCATCAGTCTGATTCGGCAAGGAAATATGGACTCACTGAACTTGGTACTGTTAGACTTCCGGAACTGTGCCTTGCCTAAATGTGTTGGGTCGGCCAGTCTCTCGACCTTCCACATGGAATCTAGGGCTTGTGTGGCCTCCTCAATACCTTTGGCTCCAGTACCGTCCCCGTCAGTCGTGGCGTACTTGACCAAAATACCTGACTGGTCAGCTGATCTCCAATGTTTTTTCCCATGGCTTGCTCTGACAGGCCGTCGTATCGGTCAGTGTTGGCTGTGCAGTCAGGGTGGCCTCCAGGACAGTTGACATCATATCCTTTTCCCCTCAGCCAAGCACCAGTCCAGCACAGCTTGGTCTGAAGTGTGCGTGCTACTATCCACTTCTTAGGTGTTGATGTCTCAATGCCCAGACTCATTCCCTGTGAGGCATCCATGCCAGGTTTCTTAGCACTTCCAAATGATGTGCTGTTGTATCGCCCGTCCAGTGCTATTCCGATAGTGCTCGGATTAGCATCCCCTCTCAGGTGATTAACCTCCACTACCTGTCTGGTCTTCTCGGCCATGTCTATTTTGTTGAGTGCTGTTATCTCCTTGGACACCATCTTAGCTTGTCGCTGCATCCAACTTTTTGCTCCGGCAGGTATGTTGAGGTGTCCGAGAAGCAGTCTGGCTCATTTGGTGCTGACAGATTGGCCACACAGAGCTGATGGTAGGTACCTGTTCACAAGTGCTGTCTTTGGTCCGGGCTTATTTGTGTCCGCTTCTCTGCAGAGCTTGTACAGTGGAGACCGGTAGCTGCACTTATCACACCGCACGGAACAACTCCATCCCAGTGCCCGTTTCCTCTCGGTGTCAAGTTCAAACTCTGGAATTTTGCATGTCTCGTGTTTTTCTGTATGGATTCTGAATACAGAATTCCACATCTTTACCATTAAGAGCACATCAATATGTCTGTTTCCCTCGATATTGTCCGGTTCAGAGTCTGAGTCTTCATGAGAAAATGTTGATGGACGAAGTATCCGAGCTGGACATGGTCTGTCTTCAGTGTCCGAGGCTATAAGTGATCGACCATCATGCCTAGGCTTGATCACCAGCTTGAACTCCTCTGTAGTTAGCCTTCTGGTAAATACAGCCTGGTCATTTGGGTGTCCAGCTTGATCTTCTACAGGCATAAGTGTCTGGTCCTTATTCTTGGGAATATTTCCAGGTTGAAAGTGATTTTTCCTCCTCTTAGTATCTCCCTTCATAGTAGTAATAGTAGTAGTGGTGGTCAGTGGTCGGTTGTGTTGAGAATCCAAAATCAGAGTTGCGCTGACCACTTGTCTACTCATTCTTATGTAGTTTGTTTGTTATCAACTTTAAAGATGATGATTTAGAAAACAGGAGAGCCTTAACATCAAAGAGATAGGTCCCTTCCCCCCCTGTCTTTGGCACTGGCTATCTGTCTATGTGTGTGTATGCAGGTGGCTGTGGGTGCGTCCATGCGTGCAAGTTATATCTATGATAATTGTAATTGTCTCTAGAGTATTTTGTGTAGACATGGAGACTGAATGATGGTTATGGCACTGTTTAAATATTCATTTAATGAAATAATTAAAAATTTAAAGCAAAAATTTAAATTAAATTCTTAAAAAATCTTTACTTGAAGATTATAATGTAAACACTTTATTTGAGTAAGTGGAGATATTATTCTACTTCATAAATCACTTTACAGAATTGAAATATCATATTTTTTTCAGAAGATATGATATTTTCCCTGACCCTTGTAGTTAGAAATATATGTAGAAAATGTCTGTCAAACTCAGCACAAAATCACAGTAGGATAGGGGTTTTTAAATTCATCATAACTTCTGTTTTATATGTCTTAAAATTATGCGGTTTTCACCAACAAGTTCAAAATTGCTTACAGTTACAGGAAAACTTTACTTTAAAATATAAAAAAGTCCTATAATAGGACTGAGGTCACAATTAAATGCTTCCGGGTTCAGTACCCACGAATGAGGTCCCTTAGAAATATAGGTACTTTAGTAAAAACTATACTATGCCTCTTAGAACTTGGTGTTTGTGTAAAAGTTTGGTGTTAAAATACTGTGGAGACATCAATCTAACAATTTCTATGTCAAATTTTTATATTGAACATTTCTTTTTTGGTGCAGGGTGCTGTGTGAAAAGTCCTGTGTTTACCTCTACCCCTGCCCCGCAAGATGTTGGTCTTGACCAGGTTAGAAGGAAAGTTGGCTATCGGATATTGGGAATTTGTTATGAAATTAAATGTTACAATGAAACATATAGTAAAATTAATTGTGGTCTTAGTCCAGATACAACCTGTTGATGTGACCTTGATGTTAACCTACACTTCTTGATTTCAATATCCAGGCTTCATCTCACGTACGGTTCTCGCTTGACAATCTCTTTTTCTGGAGCCTTGTTGGGAGTATTCAATGGCTTAGGGAGTAAAAAGAAATTAGGTCACAATATATTCTTGGTGACCGAGTTAGTGTTTGGACATCGGATGCAGTTGTTGACGTTTTTTAAAAGATATTGTTATGATAATAATGCCGGATAGGTCTCAATCTGATTAAAATCATCTGTTACATGGTTCAGGCGTAGAACGAAGTTAACGAAGCCATGTAACATATGATTTTAATCAGATTGGATAGGTCTAAGATGAATACTAGGCTTCAGGTTTCTTCTAAATACATCACACTGCATATTGATTCGGATTCACAATGTTATGAATTGGTTTTATGAGAGAATAAGAGAAACAAACGAATACATTTTCAAATTTTTATTTTTACAAACAACTTTTTTCAAGTTTATTTTAAAATATTTCAGTACAGATATGAATTGTATAAATAATTTGAAATGAAATGTTATGCCATCAATAAGTGTGGTTTATAAGTTTGGGAAACATGTTAAGGTACATGGGCACTGAACAAACTGTTTATAACATTTTTGGAAATCATTTTGGTCTAAGAGTCTCAGTGTCATATCTTTCAATATAACCAGGACATTTTACGTACTGTTAATGATACTGAACACTGATCACAACTCACGACAGGTTGACTCACTTCATAGTGTCAGCTACGAGGACATGACCAGTTTTATTCTGTGTATTTGTATACTTGTGTTGAATCATATGATCATGAGTAAAAGAGGAAATACATGACAGGGAGCTATTTCTTTCCAATTTATTTCTTAGAAAAAAGAAAGATAAAAAGGGGAGGTAATTTTGCAAAGATTTGTGAAAAGCATAAAAGCCTACTTAATTAAACAGTAAATGAACCTTTAAAATGTGTAAACATCCAAACAAAAAGAAGTTAATTTAGCATGAAATGACCGTGTTGTCAGCCATGATATTAAAGCAAGTTTGCAGATAATCAATGAAGGAGACTACATTCTCCACGTACGGAATCATGTCATGTGACAATCAGTTTCATGAGTGTTAAGGTCAACTTATATAACGTTCTGCCAAAACATTTCAGTGTAATATTGAAATAGTAATTGTTCATAATGACATTTATGTTTATATTGGCAACAAGAAACAACACAGAAGCATGTTCAATATATAACACAACACAGTGTACTACAATGGCATGAAACAGACGCTAAGGTCTGTGAGAGACACTTGTTTACCAACGTTTGACTGTTATATACATCGTTTACAAAACATTTGATTGCGTTAAAGAGGAAAAGCTGACACTTTTAAGTATACAAGTGGGTTAGTATCAGCCGGTATCAAGTACTGTAATAAATTTAGTTCATCCAATGTGAAATGGTTTGAACCAAATCTCCTCTTTCAATCGGATGCAAATTGTAAAGGTGCCTGCAGGCACTTACGATGATCTACCCCTGGTCCGTATTCATCTAGACATCTAAAGCAGAAACGGAAGCCACAAGAAGGGTACTGACATGTCATTGACAAACATCCGTCCGCATGTTCAATTATACTCCAACACTTAGGACATGCCCGGTGCCTTAAACCGTTCGTTTGTCCATGTACATATAGTTTTGGCGAATGATGGAGAAGCGAAATCATTATGTCATCAGGGTACACATTTTTCGACTCTGTTTCTTGCTGCTTGATTCGATTTTTGTCGAGCTTAGTTTGAAATATCATCTTTTCTGTTTTGGACATAGCAGCAGAAAGTGTGATAGCTTGTCTATTCCACTTGTATCCGCATGTTTCTCCCTTGAAGTTTGTGACATAAGGACACGTGATTTTGGAACTTCCTTTCTCTAGCTCACACCAACAATAGTCATAAAGGGCCCGAGGTGCTGCAATATAACAAATATTCAGATATTCAAATGAATGCACTGATCAATGATATTGTACTATCTCAATAAGATACGCATATATTTTGTTTGAGCCTGGCTTCAGTCCCCGATTATGTTACCTCTGACTATGTATTAAAACAGCCAATCATATTTATTATCATCTACTGATCATCGTTGGTCTTGTGTTATTGTTATATTTCGACACACTAAGATAGCGACTGCCCCTGTGGTAGGAAAACACAGTTCTTTGTTCCTTCTGTATTAATCATGTTTCACGAGGCAACACCTTACGTTTGGCTTGAAGGTTGAGCATTCGCCCAGGTGAGGACGTCCTTAAATAACCTTAGCTGTTAATAGGACGTTAAACAAAATTAAACCAAACCAAACCATCACGAGGGTGAAGTTAAAACATAATTCATCTCGGAGAAACTGGGACAACACATGTATGATGGTCCCTATCAGAGAGAGAGAGAGAGAGAGAGAGAGAGAGAGAGGTCGTGAAATACCGGAAGTGTGGGGACATTTTTTCTGTTTAAAACCCACGTTGTGGGGACCCCCATTCCACTGTGGGGACATTTGCCTGTCCCTACAATTACGGTCCCTTAAATCGCAAGGAAATTGCATAAAATGCATAGAAAAAATATTTTCTTAAAAGTCCCCACTAATTTTTGAATCGATCATTTATCTCACAAGTAGCCACAAATCGTAATTTAGTCTTGTGCATAACTTTGCACTAGGCTCTGTGCTGATTGGCTGAGTAGTTTGTCCCCACAAAGTCTCTCTCCTTCACATGATTGGGTTTTCATATTAGGAAGATTCAAGATATACCTATATTATTTTACTTCNAACGGAAAAGAAGTGAGCACTAGCTCAATAATTCCAGCGAAATGTACTTCTGAACATTTATAACATAAACAAATTGAATGTAGGTTTCAACGATTTTTTGTGACTCATATATGCAATATGTTGTCACTAGAAAATATTGGGATATATTGAGTTGTGTGATATTATTGCCTGCACTATATGACCTCACGGGCGATGTAGTCGCCGTTGGGAAATATCTCATTTTTGTGAGGACAACCTATGATTTCAGGGGTGAGATAGTCACCACGGGGGGACATTCTGTCTCATTTCTTGTGGGGGCATAACATTTGCGTCCTCATATAACAGAGATATATATGTCCCTAGAAATTACGTCTCTCGAATTTGAAACGGAAGTAGTTTTATTCATTATCTAGGAGAGAAAACGTTCTGCTATGGAATGGTATGCACAAGCCATAATTATTTCAAAGATGTGTTATCTAGATATGCATGTCCCCATAATGTGGGTGTGATACCTATGTCCCCATATTTACGGTGAAACCAGCCAGAGAGAGAGAGAGAGAGAGAGAGTATGAAAGAGATTGCCGTACTTACTTATAGCATGTCCACAAGCCATTTTGGCCCTTGGCTCAACCGTGTCCAGTGTGATCATGCACGAGTCACTTGACTTGACTACACCATTCCATAGCCTCCTGGTCCTGACTACGGGAGTGTACACTGCTTCGACTACGTCGCCGTCAGAAAAGACCTTATTTAGCTGGCATTCCTTGCCGACGTCGATTATCCGGCCACGTCGTTTTATAACTGTTCCCTTTGGAAATCGTTTAAACAATGTCGACAGCCCAGTCGTCTGTCTCTGTAAAGATTAAATGTAGGATGACAATGGAGATGATTTGCCGAAAGGGTGGAAGGAGATAAAACTATTCATCAGTAATTTGATTGTAAAACAACAGCTTTAAAAACAATTGATTGATTTTCATGTATAACCATTCAATGCTTATCCCAGTGTATATATCACAGCTATACCGTAGAAATAGCGTTTGATATACATGATTTTATTTCTTTTCAAACTACTTAATTGTAATATTTTACTTTATTACAGAGCTGCATTCACAAAGCCAGGATAATATGCCGCTTCATTTTCAATTTACAACGACTCAGTGTTCATTAAAAATGAACATTTTAAAGTTATAATACACTCTCTTTGCCAATCAGCAGTAATTAAATAGCAATTTACATGATGAACATAACAGTTAAATGACTTAACTATATGTACCTCACTTAACCGTATTTGACTTCGCCGCTTTGAATCAGGGTGGATGATAGTTATTTTCATGTTGATACTGTCGTCTAACTTGATGGCTTCGTATTGTTTGAATTAAGATCGTGTGAGTCAGTTTATATACGTACTCAGTACGTGATAATTAAATCAATATACATTTACGATAGTCAGAACTATATTTAGTTTATCTCTTCGTCAGCGGCTGTTAGTTTCAGACCCTGCAAAGTGGGCCAAGATCAATTTTATTGAAAAAGGCTGAAACACATAAACAACAATTAACTGAATGGATATATGTAAGAAAATTTTGATGTTCTCACTGAAAGTATGAACATGTTATTTATAAGCCCAATTAAGAAAACTCTTTATTTCTGTACGAACTTATCGATCAGGCTTCGAAGTGACCTTTGAACCACATCACATATAATAGATTTATAGTTAGTCGCGAGTCAGTACGGCAGGACTGAATAACCGAAAATTTAAGAATTGTTTTTTCAAGGAACCGTTTAATAAGCCTTGATAATTCACAATGACTACAAATATGTGCCAAACTGTAGGTTGTGGCCATGGATAAATAAGCTTAATTTATCAACATCTTACTTGACATTCCAACATCAAAGAAACGTGATAAATACTACTATATTGTAATTATTCTTGTACCTTTTGGCAAACACCCGACCGTGATTTGCGTCATATTGATATGATATCTACTTGTATACCAGTTTACATACTAAGATACCTTGTATATAGTGCAAAGGGAGTTAACCAGAAATAGACGCGTGTTTGATATAAATTGTACAAGTACCATTTGATCAGTGTGTTGTATTGGAACGAGAATGGACGTTTGATATACATAATTTATAGGAGTATGGTATACTATAAATAAAGTCCTTGCTGTTTTGAAATCTTTTTTCCTTTTATTATGATAATTTAAGTAACTGAAGAGTGTGTAAACATGTATGTGTATGTCCTTTGAAACAACTTATATTGTAATATCACTCAAATCTGTTTCATAACTTCATTCGTAAACCTTTTTTTTTCATACGTTTTCCAATTAGGAAAGGTTATTTCTTAACATTTGGATTGATTGCTGTTCTCTCCTGCTAGTCACATTTTACATTGCCTTATACTTTATGAGTCCAATAATTAATACTTTGAACATATCAAATAAATAGTGCACTCAATACAATTATATTTGTACGGGAAGATTTGTTAAGTATCAATACAATTATAACACAATACCAAAATACAGATGGACAAAGAATTATTGTAGACACTATTTAGAATGTTATAACAACCTTTTCTAAGTAAACATAAACAAATTTTCATTAGTTTAAAATACAAAAGGAGATAATCACATTGTTAATTAAAATGTCCGTATTAAAAATCATGTTTGTTTTGCCAATCAATCAGTAATTAAATAGACGTAGACAATATGAACAATACTATTAACAAAACCAAACATACTTACCTCACTTAACCGTATTTGACTTCGCCGCTTTGAATCAGGGTGGACGATAGTTATTTTCATGTTGATGCTTTCGTCTACAGCTGTTCGTTACTGTAGCGTTACGTGTTGTATCGATAAAGGCATCACCAGCCATGTTTTATATATAAACTGAAGCAGCAGTCAGATCTATATTTAGATCACTGCTACGTCAGCTAGTCAGGTCTGAACAAGTCTGAGCAGAGCCTAACCTGATGAAACGAAAAAGTAAACGAAAACAAGACAAAATATTCATTGGAAGAAAAGATGGCGTCATGTCATGATATTGAGTCTGTACTCTGCTAGAGTAAAAGAGTATAAACATGTTTCGAACAAATTGTTTAAGTCAACCAGTTGACATTGACATTATCAAATTCCATTAAGTGCATGCATATTGGACATATGCAGTTTTGTAAAAACAAATTATCATTAGATATTCAAGTTTATTGTAAAAAGATTTTTTAACAGTGTTCAAAGTCGCCACGTGACGATTTAAAAAGCGGTGTAAATCAAAGGAATGTTAGGTTATTTTTAAACCTGTTTCCAGCTTAAATACGAATGCTGCATTATTATGAAAGCAAGGAGGCAAATGTTTCATTTTTGTACTATTTTCTTTTCTACAGCATTCATACTATCAGTCATATTCTGATACATTACACAGACGTGTTAAGTAGTTTAGTATATAACTTTTTTAAGATAAGCCGACAAAGATACAGCGGCTGCCCGACTCGGCTACCGATTTCTCAGTTGTACCAGGTTACCATATAGGCTGTACTAGCTGTGTGTGACGAGACAGTAAAATTTTTACCATCACCTACATTATATATACTAATACATCACTTCAGTTCTTTATTTGCTCTAGTTTTACAACTTATGGCAGTTACAGATAAGGGGACAAAGACACCCACATTAACTCGCACACATCATCAGGGATGATATTTTCACATTTGTACTGTTTTATCACATGAAAATTTACACTTTTCAGTTAAGGAATTGAACTTGAAATATATTATTTAAGAGTTGATGTTGTATTTTTGTATTGATGTGGTCTGTGATTTTCAATGGTTAAATATGTTAAACTCTTGTCTATTATATGTCCCCAAAATGGAATGTTTTTGCAGCTTTTTCCCCAGTAAATCACGAAAAATACTATATAATCAAAAATATTGCATTACCAATCACATTTTAAAATGTTATTCCACTACACATGGGATACCTCATATTTCATATTTCTGAAAGCTTACGTAAACTTGGGTCGGTCCTTTGACTCATTCCTGCAGAACTATTGACTTGTAATATATAAAATTATAGTTAGTATTTCACACTGCAAGTATCATTTTAGCGTGTTATTAACGGACATTGGCAGAAACAGGAGCCCGATGCCATCCCCCAATGGTTTACTCTGAATCAGTTGCTTGTGGAAGGGGAAAAGAGGAGGTTGGAGGGAGGGAGTTGGGTAGCAATTTTCATGCCTACCCTGTGTCCCAAGGTGTCAAACCTAGCTATTAGTCAGAACTTACTTGGGTTTTGTTTTGCAAGACCCTTCCTTGATCTAGTGACAATGTCAGGGTGTGCCGACCAACACGGAGACTTATTAATTTATCTAAATGTTACAATGTGAGAGTCATTCTTTAATTTGATGAGGAGTGGAAATTAAAATAGCATGTTAAGATTTTACACCTTTATGGATCAGACCAGGTACAGACGAAACGTTGTAATAATAATTAATTCACATGCAACGAATGAATTATTATTTAAGATATAATAAAATGCCTTACCTATGGTAAAGACTCCTGGCTAATTTGATTGATACAGATTACGAAGACCATCGTTATTATAAACCTATCCCCTATCCCCTCCCACACACGCAAATTTATCAATCTCACTCTGTCCGGGTCTCGAAGTCACGACCTACGGCATCTAATTGCCTAGACTAGAATTCTCCACAGCCCCTCAGTCGCAGTGTTAGAAGCTGCAGATATTTATAGGCTAGACAGGGTACTATTCAAAAAATAGTCCTCCTTCGTCATTTGTGTTTCTGTCGTGATTTTTACACGTGTTTGTCATGCTGTCACGTTGACTGAACAGTTGAAAATCGTCACTAAAATTTAATTATCTCCAAATGTGTTCTTTAAACAACAAAAAATGACGACAATGTAATATCCTCAATGTTGTTTGGCGCTTCTACGGGAGTGTAGCCGGCTTTTAAGACAGTATTACTATGCTTTTGCTCCTGAATATATTAAGTTATTCTTTCTCACTCTGGGCAATTTAGAAATTCTGACTGTGAATCAACACATGTAAACTTTCTGTCAGAATAGGTTTCTGTATCAACAAAATAATAATAATCGATATTAACATCAGGGTTTGCCTTTGGCAAAGAATTTAATGGCACATGTATATGACGCAAGAAGGGTACTGACAAGTCATTGACAAACATCAGTCCGCATGTTTAATCTTCAACATTTAGGACATGCCCGGTGCGTAAGAAATATCCCAGTTCTAAATAGTGTGTTTGGTGAGTTATGAAGAAGGGAGATCATGGCGTCGTCGAGTACACATTTATCGATTCTATTTCTCGCTTCTTAATTGATTCTGTTTATGTGGTGTTTAGTCTGAAATAACCTCTTTTCTCTATAGGTCATAACTGCGGAAAACGAGATAATGCGTGTCCTCCATTCACAACCACACAAACATAATACTCATGTCATGTTGACAATACGTTAGAGCACCATTATATAAACAATGAAAACAAGACCGGCCTTGGATTTCATATTTGCTAGTCAAGGTATTTTGTTATCTAATAAATCACACAATCATGATTATATAACACTCTGTCAAAACATTTCAGTTTATTATCAAAATAATAATGGTACATTATAACATTTATGCATATATGGACAACACTTAACAACACAGAAGCATGTTCAAATGTATAACGCAACACAGTGTACTACAGTGGTATTAAACAGACGCTAAGATCTGTGAGAGACACTTGTTTACCAACATTTGACTGTTATATACATCGTGGGCAAGTATCAGTCGGTATCAAGTAATGTGATAAATTTAGTTCACCGAATGTGAAATGGTTTGAACCAAATCTCCTTTTTCAATCGGATGCAAATTGTAAAGGTGCTTGCAGGCACTTACAATGATCTATCCCTGGTCCGTATTCATCTAGACATCTAAAGCAGAAACGGAAGCCACAAGAAGGGTACTGACATGTCATTGACAAACATCCGTCCGCATGTTCAATTATACTCCAACACTTAGGACATGCCCGGTGTTTTAAAGCGTTCGTACGTCCATATCCTAATAGTTTTGGCGAATTATGGAGAAGCGAAATCATGATGTCATCAGGGTACACATTTTTCGATTCCGTTTCTTGCTGCTTGATTCGATTTTTGTCGAGCTTAGTTTGAAATAACATCTTTTCTGTTTTGGACATAGCAGCAGAAAGTGTGATAGCTTGTCTTTTCCACATGTATCCGCAGGTTTCTCCCTTAATGTTTGTGATATAAGGACACGTGATTTTGGAACTTCCTTTCTCCAGCTCACACCAGCAATAGTCATACAGGGCCTGAGGTGCTGCAATATAACAAATATTGCAACAATTAAAATATGTTTCAGCACATCTAACATTTAAATGACGTAAAACTTTGTTTTTGCTGATGAAGGATACATGCTTTTAACTGCCAACACAAATCAATTATCCATATTTAAACAACTCACCAACATAAGTGAACAACTGCAGTTAGTGTAAAATGATAGTTTTTTTGGGCGGGGGTTTAATACTTACTGATAGCATGTCCGCACGGCATTTCTGCCCTTTGCACATCTGTGTCCAGTGTTATCATGCACTGGTCAGCTGACTTTTTCATGCACCTCCATAGCTTCCTTGTTTCGACCAGCTGTGTGTAGAATGCTTCAGCAACGTCGCCGTGAGTGAAAACCTTACTTATCAAGCATTCTCTGTCGGCGTCGACCGTTCGTCCAAGCCGTTTTATAACTGTCCCTTGTGGAAATTGCTTAAATAAGGCCGACAACTTGGTCTTCTGTCTCTATAAAAACACAAAATATAAACAGATAAGGATATATGTTGAAAAGATACCACCTTTTGTCAGTATTTTTATGGTAACATCCTAAAGATTCATTGTTGTGGACCTCAATGAACATTTCTATGATTCAAATTATAAACCGCACATATTTACTGCATAATTGGGGTGTGTAAACAAAGATATTATTTTCTTTCGGGCATAATTTGAAAAGTTGAATTGACTAGTTGCTATCCTTTTCAGATATTTAACGGTATTCTTTCTGAACATATTAAATGAGTTAATCGGAAAAAAGTATTGAATTATTGCAGCATGATTGCATATTGTTTGACAACCGACAGTTATCAAACTAGCTGTAGATATTGTTAACACCAAATTTGAATAACGAAACCAGGTATATTTACCTCACTAAATCGAATATGACTGCGCTTTAAATCAGGGTGGATGACAGTTATTTTCATGCTTATGACTTTCTCTCTCCTTTACCGTACGTGTTGTGTGAATACGTGAGCGGTGGACAGCTTTTATACAGCTAAATGTTTCAGTCAGACCTATATTTAGATTGTCGCTTCGTCAACATTTTTTAGCTTACTGGTCCGAACAGGTAGGTCTGTGTATAACCTAGCAATTCAGTCGTTATCAATACGAGTAGACGGATAGTAGGCGGTGTTTGAATGGAGGAATGCAATTATATATGTTCTGATTATAGTTACAGTCTTATAAGTAACTTCCTGTAATATTCCATTCAGTTTTAATATTACATTGCCAAATATACGAAAAGAAGATTTTGTTTGGAAAATTCATAATGACATCTCATTAAGGGGATTTAAGTACATCTAGTGAGTTGTAGTAAATTAAATGAGTGCAGTACGTACAGTAAATGATCCACAGTGGAACATATAAATTATGATAAATTATGATAAATTATGTAATTAAAATCCACTGCGCCATCCGACCACCCGATTTGTGTTTTGGTTTTGTTGATATTACCCAGGTTTGACTTTGTAGACGCGCCATTACTGATTTCACCTATATTTACATTGCGGTCAGCACTGATATAGCAGAACATACCTAACACTCCAGAACACCTGTTCGTATTCACCTTGAAGGTTTTTTCAGGGTATCCATTTGAAAATTTCTTTAATTCATGATGAAAACTAGGCGTAAACTTTGTTTTTAACACATCACACTACATATTGATTCGGGTTCAGATTTGTTGTGAATTGGTTTTATGACAGAATGAAAGAGACAAACGTATTTATCTAAAATTTTATTTTACTAACAACTTAAAAAAGGTAACTAAGGCCCATTTCAAACTATGGGCATATATGTTTGACCTTCATCACAACCATTCATTAGATGGACTGAGGTCACAATTTAATGCTTTCGGGTTCAGTACATACGAATGAAGTCCCTTAGAAATATAGGTACTTTAGTAAAAACTATACTATGCCTCTTAGAACTTGGTGTTTGTGTAAAAGTTTGGTGTTAAAATACTGTGGAGATATCAATCTAACAATTTCTATGTCATTTTTTTTTATTTTGCATTTATTTTTTGGTGCAGGGTGCTGTGTGAAAAGTCATGTGTTTACCTCTACCCCTGACCCGGATGTTTATTTTTGACATTGGTGACACATGCAGACGACTAGCTCAAGAAAAAGGCCAACATGCTATGCTGAAATTTTGATATTTTACTCCCAAGATGTTGCTCTTGACCAGGTTAGAGGGAAAGTTGGCTATCGGATATTGGGAATTTGTTATGAAATTAAATGTTACAATGAAACATATAGTAAAATTAATTGTGGTCTTAGTCCAGATACAACCTGTTGCTGTGACCTTGATGTTAACCTAGACTTCTTGATTTTAATATCCAGGCTTCACCTCACATACGGTTCTCGCTTGACAATCTCTTTTTCTGGAGCCTTGTTGGGAGTATTCAATGGCTTAGGGATTAAAAAGAAATTAGGTCACAATATATTCTTGGTGACCGAGTTAGTGTTTGGACATCGGATGCAGTTGTTGACGTTTTTTAAAAGATACTGTTATGATAGTAATGCCGGTTAGGTCTCAATCAGATTAAAATCATCTGTTACATGGTTCAGGCGTAGAACGAAGTTAACGAAGCCATGTAACATATGATTTTAATCAGATTGGATAGGTCTAAGATGAATACTAGGCTTCAAGTTTCTTCTAAATACATCACACTGCATATTGATTCGGATTCACAATGTTATGAATTGATTTTATAAGAGAAACAAACGAATACATTTTCAAATTTTATTTTTACAAACAACTTTTTTCAAGTTTATTTTAAAATATTTCAGTACAGATATGAATTGTATAAATAATTTGAAATGAAATGTTATGCCATCAATAAGTATGGTTTATAAGTTTAGGAAACATGTTAAGGTACATGGGCACTGAACAAACTGTTTATAACATTTTTGGAAATCATTTTGGTCTAAGATCCTCAGTGTCATATCTTTCAATATAACCAGGACATTTTACGTACTGTTAATGATACTGAACACTGATCACAACTCACGACAGGTTGACTCACTTTATAGTGTCAGCTATTTTGTCATGATGGCATACTAAATAGAACAAAAAACAAGGACATGACCAGTTTTATTCTGTGTATTTGTATACTTGTGTGGATCATATGATCATGAGTAAAAGAGGAAATACATGACAGGGAGCTATTTCTTTCCAATTTCTTTCTTAAAAATAAATGAAAGATAAAAAGGGGAAGTAATTTTGCAAAGATTTGTGAAAAGCATAAAAGCCTACTTAATTAAACAGTAAGTGGACCTTTAAAATGTGTAAACATCCAAACAAAAAGAAGTTAATTTAGCATGGAATGACCGTGTTGTCAGCCATGATATTAAAGCAAGTTTGTAGATAATCAATGAAGGAGACTACATTCTCCAAGTACGAAATCATGTCATGTGACAATCAGTTTCATGAGTGTAAAGGTCAACGTATATAACGTTCTGCAAAAACATTTAAGTGAATTATTGAAATAGTAATTGTTCATAAAGACATTTATGCTTATATTGGCAACAAGAAACAACACAGAAGCATGTTCAATATATAACACAACACAGTGTTCTACAATGGCATGAAACAGACGCTATGGTCTGTGATAGACACTTGTTTACCAACGTTTGACTGTTATATACATCGTTTACAAAACATTTGATTGCGTTAAAGAGGAAAAGCTGACACTTTTAAGGATACAAGTGCGCAAGTATCAGCCGGTATCAAGTAATGTGATAAATTTAGTTCACCGAATGTGAAATTGTTTGAACCGAATCTCCTCTTTCAATCGGATGCAAATTGTAAAGGTGCCTGCAGGCACTTAAGATGATCTACCCCTGGTCCGTATTCATCTAGACATCTAAAGCAGAAACGGAAGTCACAAGAAGGGTACTGACATGTCATTGACAAACATCCGTCCGCATGTTCAATTATACTCCAACATTTAGGACATGCCCGGTGCTTTAAACTGTTCGTTTGTCCATGTACATAAAGTTTTGGCGAATTATGGAGAAGCGAAATCATGACGTCATCAGGGTACACATTTTTCGACTCGGTTTCTTGCTGCTTGATTCGATTTTTGTCGAGCTTAGTTTGAAATAACATCTTTTCTGTTTTGGACATAGCAGCAGAAAGTGTGATAGCTTGTCTATTCCACTTGTATCCGCATGTTTCTCCCTTGAAGTTTGTGACATAAGGACACGTGATTTTGGAATTTCCTTTCTCTAGCTCATACCAGCAATAGTCATAAAGGGCCCGAGGTGCTGCAATATAACAAATATTCAGATATTCAAATGAATGCACTGATCAATGATATTGTACTATCTCAATAAGATACGCATATATTTTGTTTGAGCCTGGCTTCAGTCCCCGATTATGTTACCTCTGACTATGTATTAAAACAGCCAATCATATTTACTATCATCGACTGATCATCGTTGGTCTTTTGTTATTGTTATATTTCGACACAATACGATAGTGACTGCCCCTGTGGTAGGAAAACACAGTTCTTTGTTCCTTTTGTATTATTCATGTTTCATGAGGCAACACCTTACGTTTGGCTTGAAGATTAAGCGTTCGCCCAGGTGAGGACGTCCTTAAATGACCTTAGCTGTTAATAGGACGTTAAACAAAATGAAACCAAACCAAACCATCACGAGGGTGAAGTTAAAACATAATTCATCTCGGAGAAACTGGGACAACACATGTATGATGGTCCCTATCAGAGAGAGAGAGAGAGAGCGAGAGAGAGAGAGAGAGAGAGAGAGAGAGAGAGAGAGAGAGATTGCCGTACTTACTTATAGCATGTCCACACGCCATTTTGGCCCTTGGCTCAACCGTGTCCAGTGTGATCATGCACGAGTTACTTGACTTGTCTACACCATTCCATAGCCTCCTGGTCCTGACTACGGGAGTGTACACAGCTTCGACTACGTCGCCGTCAGAAAAGACCTTATTTAGCTGGCATTCCTTGCCGACGTCGATTGTTCGGCCACGTCGTTTTATAACTGTTCCCTTTGGAAATCGTTTAAACAATGTCGACAGCCCAGTCGTCTGTCTCTGTAAAGATTAAATGTAGGATGACAATTGAGATTATTTGCCGAAGGAGTGGAAGGAGATAAAACTATTCATCAATAATTTGATTGTAAAACAACAGCTTTAAAAACAATTGATTGGTTTTCATGTATAACCATCCGATGCTTATCCCAGTGTATATATCACAGCTATACCGTAGAAATAGCGTTTGATATACATGATTTTATTTCTTTTCAAACTACTTACTTGTAATATTTTACAAACTTATTACAGAGCTGCATTCACAAAGCCAGGATAATATGCCGCTTCATTTTCAATTTACAACGACTCAGTGTTTATTAAAAATGAACATTTTTAATTTATAATACACTCTCTTTGCCAATCAGCAGTAATTTAATAGCTATTGACATTATGAACATAACAGTTAAATGACTTAACTATATGTACCTCACTTAACCGTATTTGACTTCGCCGCTTTGAATCAGAGTGGATGATAGTTATTTTCATGTTGATACTGTCGTCTATCTTGATACCTTCGTATTGTTTGAATTAAGATTGTGTGAGTCAGTTTATATACGTACTCAGTACGTGATAATTACATCAATATACCTTTTCGATAGTCAGATCTATATTTAGTTTATCGCTTCGTCAGCAGCTGTTAGTTTCAGACCCTGCAAAGTGGGCCAGGATCAAATTTATTGAAAAAGGCTGAAACCCTTACAACAATTAACTGAATGGATATATGTAAGAAAATTTTGATGTTCTCACTGAAAGTATGAACATGTTATTTATAAGCCCAATAAAGAAAACTCTTTATTTCTTAGTCACCTGTACGAACTTATCGATCAGGCTTCGAAGTGACCTTTGAACCCCATCACATATGATAGATTTATAGTTAGTCGCGAGTCAGTACGGCAGGACTGAATTATAGTAAAGAAATTCTGAAGATTTTATTAGAGTAAACCCTTCAGATCTAGATTTTTTTAAAGCCAAATCTAAAATCATAGACATTATATTTCTATTATTTCTTAACTCAATATTCAAAAAAATGTATAGTTTTCACCTTTACGAGCTTATTGATCAGGCTAAGAGACGGCCTTTACCTGCCTGACGTCATGGATTTGATATGTCATGATCTGTCGTGCAAGTTTACAAGATGATTTACGTTATAAAGGAAATAACAAACGTCACGAAAAAAGTTATTTTGTACACATTTTAATCTTATCAATGTGAATTAATACATATTAATGATTCTAAACTATAGTTACGTTTAGTCTAGATCTATTTTAGTTTCTTAAACAACATTCCAACTTCGGCCACGAAACGGCCTGCATACACGGTATACGCAAGTCTATATACATGTTGTCAGATTTATATTTAGATTATCGCTTTGTCAGCGACTGCTAGTTTTGCGGAGAACGGATCTAAACAGAGCCATTCCTGATTAATTCAGTCGCTTTTAATGAAAGAAGACGTGTAGGCTTCATCGCAATTCAAGTTTAAATACAATGAAAATTATAACAGAAACACGTAAAATATACCGATAAACAGACTATAATCTTAAGAACTCTTGTTAAATGATTTAATAATTTCATTTGGCTGCTGAACTAACTATATTGTACTACTATATATCATTCGGAACACCTCGCCTTTGCTACCTAGAAAATGACGAAAGGGTATTCCGAATGTATTATATATAAGAGTGCTATTTTGTTTACAAATAAAATTGTATGACATTAAGTATGTAATACATTTAATAACGTTCCCCACAGGCTTAATGACTACAGTGTTGACTCAATCACTTCTAAAATATGGTCATATTTAATAATCAAATGCATGTTGACTTGCTCAAGCCAAAAAAAGTAGGTATTTCGTTGGGAAAAATCTGTGTTCCGTGCTCCTCTTCGTGCCAAGTTGTTTTATCCGTATGAGGCTCAAATGTTTTAAAGAGTTATTTAGACTGGTGACAAAATCGTCTATATCTTTTTGTAATATGAATGCCGTTATTTTTATTATGCTCATTAGCATGTCTTGTTATTGTGCTGTCACTCTCCCTGTTTTCACTTTCAGGACGTGACATTTCTTAGATTTACATGTTAAGGGTTTATTTCCAAGTCCTGATACGCTTTTCAGCAAAAATCAGCCTCATACGAGAACCCAAACAAGTAGGCCAAACTATGTCTACAGTTTGCTGGAAAATCTTGCCATCTTACTCAACTAAGATATTTATCAACCACGAACTCAATCATTCCCATGATAACTTAAAGATATAGTTGATATATACCAGATTTCCATTAGAAAACAAACTGGAAGTCATCTTTAGAATTGATTTCTTTATTGTTTTCTCCAGAATTATGATAATTCCTGTGTTGAGTTTGAAAAACGATCAAAGCGTGTATAATTAAATAATATCTATTACACCAATATCGCTCAGCAATAGCAACACAAAGAAAACAAAGTGCAATATACAGATATGTACAAAACAGGTAATATATTTACAGATATGTACAAAATAGGTAATATATTTACAGATATAAACAAAACAGGTAATATTTTTACAGATACAAGAAACAGGTATTTTTTTTTTACAGATATGAACAAAACAGGTAATATTTTTACAGATATAAACAAAACACGTAATATTTTACAGATATAAACAAAACAGGTGATATTTTTACAGATATTAACAAAACTGGTGGTATTTTTACAAATACGTACAAAACAGGTAATATTTTACAGATGTAATCTTAACGAAAGGTAATATTTTACAGATATGTAAAAAACAAAAAGTAATATTTTACAAATATGTACAAAACAAAAGGTTATATTTTACAAATTTGTACAAAACAAATGGTAATATTTTTACAGATATGTAAAAAAAAAAAGCAAACTTTTTTAGAAATATGAAGAATACAGAAGACAATATTGTTTTACAAAAATGTACAAAAATCAAGGTCATATTATTACAGACAAACACAAAACAAAACGTCAAACTTTTACTGTCACGAACAAAACAGAAAAGGCGTGTTTTTAAACAGATATGTACACAAATCAAGGTAATATGAATCACATACAGGTATGACGTAGGAAAGACTCTAAAAGGGATATTTCGTCATTAACGTTACGATCCCTTTTTATACATTGAGTTTGGGCATACAAAGTCACAAAGTAGTGCTTTTGTAATTTAAAACGCACATTTAAATGACAAATTCGGAAACTTTGATACCTACGTAAATGAGCAACTCTACAGAAGCAGTACGGGTTAGAAGTAGAACAGTGTGTGTCTTCCTTCCATTATACTAATAGACGGATAGAAGACATTACATTCTTAACGGAGTATTGAATTTGTTTTCATCATTGTTTTTGTTTTGTTTGACTTATCACAAAAAGCAAAATAGATCACGCACATTTTTTTTATTTACAATAGAGCAAACTGTGTTGGTCCTGGTTTACAATCACGTTTACAACAATTTGAACTCTCTTTAAGGCACCTGAAACAAAACGAAAAATTACAACCTTGGTATTTGCAGTCCATAGCTCTGCATCCTCCGGTATGCTCGATAACAGAAAAACACCTGGGACATGCTCGCCGCAATGGACAAGTCATGTCATCCATCGTCATGTTAGGAGAGTCATGTATAAGTGATATGATTGTTTCGTTAATGACCGGAATTTCCTGACAGGAGTTGTGCATTGTATAAGCAAACAATGTGTTCCCTATCAATTGTTTATCCTGTTTACTTGTGTTTGCGGATTTGCCAACATCCTTCATACTCCAGAGCGTACCACATGTATAGGCATGGGTACTGTAGACAAATGGACATGTAATTGTTGTCTTCCCCTTTTCCAACTCGCTCCAACAATAGTCTTATATCGCTTGTGGTGCTGAAACAGACAATTAGCGTTACATGTGATATAACAACTTCTGTTAGTAAACACAAGGTTTGTTAGTGTGTGTAGTGATAGGAATGCGTTTCGTCCTATTATCAAGTAATGTAACCCGCGGCTAATTAAATCGGTTACGTCACCATCATCGATTTCTGATCCTGGTTTGCTTATTTCATAAATTAAATCAGTGTTTAGCCAAGGATGACATCAAGCCACAAATGAACTCCGATCGACCTATGCAACAATACACAAAAAGTGTAAAGTCCTCGTGTCGACTGTCATATCATATTGCTGTTACTTGTTCAACTTTGTATGTATGTTTTAATTGTTTTAGTCATTACCAGATGTAATACTTTTCAAGCTGACAGGTTTTTGAGATGATGCGTTTTAAGAACTAAATAATATTTTATTAAATGTTGTATTGTAGCAATCACTATCGACAGATTTGTGCTACTGATTTTCTCACACACACACTCTAGGTTTTCTCACTCCCGACTCCTTGGGGATAAATCTGCTAGGAGTTGGTAAATGTTTTTGGTAACCCAATAGTGGGTACTATCCTGGATGTTATTTCATTGGTCAATCTTCTAATAATGACGATGCTTTGCGACGTCGACTTTCATTGTGACGTCATAGTTCAAGGCTGTTTTCCCTATCATCAACAGAAATAAGATATTCCTACGAGAAACATAAGACTTTCTAGATATAATATCTAAACGTTGTGGAGAAAAAGGCCCACAAATGGTTGATTATCATGTTTATATTATTCTTGGTGAACCTCGTATCTTTATACAATTTGAAAATTAAATAACTCGAGTAAGATAAGCATGATTAACCACTCTTCACTCGTTGGGGAACCTCTATTTCTAGAACTGTCATAACGTGCACCCTTATATTCAATATGAACGACATCACCGTCCTTGAAAGTCTTGCTCAACAGTTGGCGCTTGTTGGCGTGAATAATCGTCCTGCGAAGTGGATACCTGATGAAGGTTCAGGTCGGTAGACGTTTTAACAGGGTGGTCAGCATCTGTCTCTGAAAAATTCATTTGCAAAAAGCTTAGTATTTAGGATACATTATATTGAATAGGAGAGGAACTTTCTCATAAAACGACAAAATTTGTGTTCTTCTAATTGCCTGGTTTCCATTATTCCTTACAAAGTGACCTAGTGTCTCCTCTACATTGATAAGGTGTCAAACATTTTCAACTATATATTTCCCAACATGTTGAAGAGATTGTGAGAGCTCTAACAGAAAATGTTCAGCTAATTGTGGCGCACCCCAATTACTACATTTACATGTTTATAAAATAAGTCTTTAGAAATATTCTGATCTACGTCACACCTATCCGCCACTCTGATGTAAACAGGTAATGTACAAGTTATGATACACACAAAACTGTACTGATATAAAGTCATACACACGTCTTGTTATGTAACAATTACATCGGATAACACATTAACGTCTTGTTATGTAACAATTACATAAGATAAAACATTAACGTCTTGTTATGTAACAATTACATCTGATAAAACATTAACGTCTTGTTATGTAACGAGTACATAGGATAAAACATTTACGTCTTGTTATGTAACAATTACATAAGATAAAACATTAACGTCTTGTTGTTATGT